GGGGGGGGGGGGGGGGGGGGGCAAAAAGTGGAGATGATAGCAGATGACAGAACATGACAAGAGAACAGGAAAGGCGGTAAAAGGAGAAGAAAATTGTTTCATCATGCAGGTTTCAAATACAGGACTTACTGAATGAGAGGTGAACACCGTATCTCTACACCACAAGAGGTCCCTTTTAGATATCAGTTGTTACCCCCCTTTGCACTCTTCATACTCACTAGGTGACTTGTGTTTCACACTGAAGTCCCGCATCATTATCAGTAAAAAATGTTCACGTTAGTCACATCTTGCTTTCGATGTTCTTTCGGATTCTACAACATGGAAAGTCAGGCAAAACCACATTTTCTAACTTGGCACTTCATGCAGACAACAGAAACGTGTACATTTTTTAAATATATGAGTGCTTTTCACACCACCATCGACACAATTTAGATCTTATAGGAAGCGGGCTTTAGACTCCACCTATTGGGGCCAACTTGGACCGAGTCGGATACAGCATCCCAGCAGAAAGACAGAAATACTCAATAAAAAATGTTCTCCCCTCCCCACTTGGGAATCAAACTCGGGTCTTTTGCGTGTGATAGTGGAATGCCTAGCTGCTACACCACAGATGCCGGTAGAGTACATCATGCCTACACACTCTTTTATTTAAAAAAAATTTTTTTTTGGTAAGTGTTTTATGGTGCTCGCAACTGCATAAGGTCACATGAGCGCATGGGACACATTAAACATTTTCAGTTGGTAGGAAATTTTGAATTTTGCCCGCGTGGCGGCCAAAGCCTGCTCTTTATCGATTTTAGACCACCAAGGGACCTTTAATGTGCGCAACTTGCACATGGGACCTCCAAGATTTTTCGCCCTTGTCCGAGAAGGCTAGGTGTACAACTTTCCTACCAGGAGATCAAGGTGTAGCTGAAAGACAACAGTAAGAAGGAGCCAAGGAGTAGCAATAGACAGGCTGCAGAAAGAGCCGGGAGCCCGGATGAGGGGGCAAAGGGGGTGAGGGGCAGACACTGGAGACAGAACATTGCTAGAGAGCAGGAAAGGAGGTGAAAGGAGACAATTTTAGAGAAGAACATTTTTCGGTCGCTACCCGGATTCGAACCCGGGACCTTTGAATGAGAAGCGAACACTTTAACCTCTAGGCCACAAGAGCCCCCCCCCCAAGCTCATATATGCCAATTAACAGAGCAACTACCAACATAATGTCTTATAGTCACCTCAGGCTTTCCTTAATCACACAAGTCAAGTACTGAAGGTTGTTGATGACCTCGACAGTGATAGGCTGATTCTTTTCTTGCAAATATGACATGACTTCCTGTCGGGCCTTCTCTTGGATGTCAGGGTGCTCGGCCAGCTGAAGGAGTGTCCACGTCAGATTCATACTGGTCGTCTGAAAGGATATTGTTTCGGGTACCCATTACTTCAATCTTACTGTTAACCCTTTGAACCCTAAATCTGGAAATATATCAAATCTCTATCCCTGGACATTTTTCGCAAATTTCATCAAAGTTAACAGTGTTTTGGGGGCACATACACAAAAAGATGGAGGGGAAGAACATGGAGAAATAAACACACCTATTCACTCCCTTGTTTACCTTATTCGTGGAAATATTGTAAGACGACGAACAAGAAGAAAAGAAAGTACTTTTGACGGACAACACAACTCCGAGTAGTCCGTGCCCCGGTGAACTGGCCTTTCGGTATACAGCAAAATGTTGCCCAGGCCGGTTTATCAGCCTAACAGGTTCAAAGGGTTAATAAATCATAAATAGCATTTGTGTAGCCCATATCCCCACTCAACAGCTTGCTCTGTGCACGTAACAATCTGTATTACTAAGGATTTCACCACAAGAAGGTATTGGCTGTCACAATAAGGCTCATTCATATCATATTAATATGAAATCAGAAAATGTTGCATTGTGTTCACAGGTGTGGAATGGTCCTTGTTGCTTAGGGTTGCAAAAGCAAGGATTGGAAGAGATGGAGAGGTAACACTGAGCGAGAGAGAGAGAGAGAGAGAGAGAGAGAGAGAGAGAGAGAGAGAGAGAGAGATAGAGTGGAAATGTTTTTCTATTGTATAGAATTAATGTTTTAATGAATGTTTCTAGTTACTCACGTTTCAACTGTATTTTGACTGTTCGTGAATTTATATTGCATTGTATATTTTTAGTGAACACATTTTCAACCTCACTGCGAGACTGTTTTTCTGGTATAAAATTTTACACATATGCATTTATATTATATGTATAATACTTTGTTTTACGTACACATTTGTGTCGATTAATTTTTAAGATGTGATGTCTTTTTCATTGTAATGCGCATTGAGCATCTTTTAGGAAATGGAAATGCGGAGTATAAATGCTATTTATTATTATTATTATTATTAAGAATGGTGTATGAAACTGATGGAAGATATATTGGCTGTTGGTGGCTGAAGTTGGGTGGGGGTGATGAGTTTTAAAAAAAGGGGAGAATTTTTATAGAGTACAGTAGTCTCGGCCTAAGATCCCACCGCTTACGATCCCGGTTCGCTTAAGATCCCGCTGTTTTAAGAAAACACAATTTTTACTACACAAAAGTCACCCCTAAGATCCCGCTCTGATTCACTCTGAGGGTCTACATTCGGCTAAGATCCCGCATTTCAGATCATAATTTGCAGAACAAAAACCCGGGCGGGACAGCCGATCAACCAAGAGTGAAAAGTTGAGATCAATACACTGTCCGTAGCGTCAAAGATCAACCACTATCATGAATGTGATCACATACGCGTTGTAAAACTCGATGAAGCGATACAATGTTTGCCCCAGACGGGATCACACCAGGGTGTGAACTGACCGACACGTTTGTTTTCCCCCGCATCGCACTCCCACCTGAGCTCTCCCCCTAAACTTACATCACTCACTGGGTAGGTAGGGCCTATACGTTCCCTCCAGGCGGGATCACATTGAACTGTGAACTCTTCCCTGACCATTGCAGTAGTTATCTCTATTCCCGAATTTGCGGGACACTGAATTTTAATTGGTGTGTTTACAACGTAATGGGGTGTAACGACAAAGGCGGTTGGGAGGGGGGGGGGACCATCGTCAGAGATGGAGAGCTTTAAATTTTCGACAGGTAAAGTGGAGGGGCAACTGAAGCGGAGATCTTGAGACTCATGATAGGATAATAAGTGAAAATGGCACGCCTCATCCCACTATGCACTGTGATAGGTCATCAAGGTTAACCACTCTTTGCCCGCCATACGCCATAAACCCACCAAGGGGTCACGTCAGTTCATTTTAGAGTGGAGGTAGACCATTTTACCGATTGTGGGCCTTAACATGGGTCACCATAGATTCTTCCCTGGGTTCATCGGCTAAGATCCCGGTTCGCCTAAGATCCCGCATTTCCTTGCTCCCGAGCACCGGGATCTTAGGCGGAGACTACTGTATCTCAGTCTTTCTGCTGAAACGTTGTATCCCTCTCAGCCTGGAGTGGTCTTAACAGGCAGGGTTGAAGCCCGCCTTCTAAATATTTTCAATTGTATGGGGTTGAACCCCCCCCCCCCCCCCCCACCCATATCACTTTTACAAATATTTTCCAATCTTCCTTCAGATACTTACCTCAAATCCAGCAAAAAGAAATCCACCCACTTGTGAACTCAAACACTCATCACTGAGAGCGTTTCCTTGCTCATCTCTCGCTAACAGCAATAAGGACAGGAGGTCTTTACTACTGTCTCCTGAATGTCAACAACAATTAGTTTTTAAGAACCCTTACCATAACATACACAACACCAAAAATAGGGCCACCACATAAGAAGTGGAAGCCTCCAAACACATTTATCAACATTTGTACAAGCGTGTGCAAGTACAGTCAAACCTTGTTGCACCACCAGCCATTGTACCGCTAGCCTCACTTACGGCCAGGTTTTGCCAAAGTATGAAAAGCATCCCCTATATAAATATAGTATTTGTACCTTTATATCCCCATCCGCCAACTATCTCAGTTGTACAGATTGAAAAAAGATAACTCATTAATTTATCTAGTGATTGGTAAACAATTCCCCTGATGTTGGGCATTCGGTGCTACATGTATATTTAACAGAAGACATGAAACCCGCATTGTACCACCTGCCCCGCTCTACCACCAAGTTCCTGCTCGTCCCAAGATAGGCGACATAACGAGGTTTAATTGTATTGTGACAGATCAAGGAACAGAATTTGAATCATTTGTGTTGGTGCAACAATCTTAAATTGGCTGTGGTTTTGCTTACCATATGAAGATAAGGCAAATAAAAGTACAGGTATTATATGAGGAAATACTGAGAAGTAAGAAAGTAAGCTTGTATCAAAAAGTCAACCTAAAACAGGATAGGATGACACACATGTGCATTATCATCTGAATTTACCACAATCTCAACTCAACATCACCATCAGGATGACACAAGTCAAAAGTGACATAACAAAAATATCATTTGTTATCTTTCGAAAACTATACTATTATAATGACATCAAACATTAATCCGAGGTTTTATTTCAAATTCCCCTGACTTTTGACAGTTACTCAGTGACAGAGCCTCTGTCAGGCCATGGAGGCCCTAAGAATATACAACTAAAGACACCCAATGAGAATTACGATAGCGTACAAAGTTCAAGGAATCTTTATTTTGTAGAAGTTTAAAAACTCAAAAACTAAGATCAAAGGCTGATATATTTTTTTCCGTATTGTAAAGGGAAAATTTCCACCAACTGACCTTGCTCAAGTTTCCTTTGTTTTTCCTGCAGGACACCAGCGATGGTTGCTCTGAAGAACTTGAAGTCTGCCCAGGCCTGTCTGTTCTTCTTTGTGGGTAGCCATTGAAGTGGAAGCATCTGGGACAACCTTGTGGGACGAAGTCAAAACGTTTTATTGCTCCTTTAGTGTGTGTGCTTTTTTTTGTGCTATTTTTTAAAAGTGTTTTACGACGCTCACAACTGCACAAGGTAATATCAGCCTGCGGGACACATCAAACATTTCAGTTGGTAGGAAATTTTGAATATTGCCCGGATGGCGGCTGAAGCCTCTTATCGATTTTGGACCAGCAAGGGATCTTCAACGTGCACAACTTGCACACGAGACCTCCCAGATTTTTCGCCCTTATCCCAGATAGCTAAGTGTTGGATCTTACCTACGATAAGATCAGGGGCGTGGCTGAAAGACGGCAGTAAGAAGGAGCAAAGGAGTAGCAGAAGAAATGCTGCAGAAAGAGTTAGGAACCCAGAGGAGGGGGCAAAGGAGGTGAGGGGGTGGGAGCAGAAAGTGAAGACGAAAGCAGACGACAAACATTGTTAGAGTTAGAGAGCTGGAAGGGAGGTGAATAGAGACAATTTTAGAGAGGAAAATTCCCCCTCGTCGCTGTCCGGACTCAAACTCGGGACCTATTGAATGAGAGGCAAACACTGTAACCTCTTGATCACGAGAGCACCCTTTTGTGTGTGTGTGTGTGTGTGTGTGTGTGTGTGTGTGTGTGTGTGTGTGTGTGTGTGTGTGTGTGTGTGTGTGTGTGTGTGTGTGTGAGAGAGCATGCGTGCATGCTGCGTACATGTGGTGCGTGTGTGTAGTTGGATGGTGGGGGAGGCAGGGGTAGTAGGAATCTCTTCCAACATTATCAAAAGCTAGGAATCAAATGGTTCGGACATCAAGCTCATATGCATATCAATCAAACACCCTTTAAGCTCTCAAAACAAGGATACCTGGCTACAGAGTGACAGGAAGTCCCAAGGAAAGAAGGACTGGACAATTTAAAAGCTGGCAATTTCTGGCTTCTACAGGCTTGCCAGTTTGCCAAGACCTAAAGTCTCCAGCTCTCTGCGATACCTCGTGGTACAAGCAGCAGATACGAATAACTCACTCAATACAAGCTATAACTTTATAAAGATTGCCCTGAAGAAATTAAAGATTTGTTTTATGGTTACTTTTTTTTTTTACAAGTTTTCACAAGTTTTCAAAAATTGGTCAAAAACTGCTTTCCCTTTGCCTTTCTTACTCATGCCCTTCCCCACTACTACAACCGTAGATCTAGGTTTTGGGGGCCCTATTAAACCTTATTCTTCTTTGCAAATTTCTCCACCCTGTTCATTATAAAAATCTTCGACCAATTCACCGGTTTCTGAGTCACTTTCGTCGTCAAAGGTTCAAAAACTGTCAAAGACAAACGATCTGCCATTGTGGAAAACGTAATGGTAAATTCAGTTGTAAGGGCGGTTGTCGTAAAAGTCAATAACTCTACTTGCGCTCATCCGATTTCTGTTTCGTTTCTTTCTAATGAAAGATAATTGAATGGGCTACGTAAAAGGTGGACCAGTACCGCAAACGGTGTGGTTTTAACGTGAGAAAAAAATTCCAAAGTGCCAAACCGCAAGGGTTGCGGCTGTGGTATCACAACGTCAGAGCTACTTTACCCACAACTGTTGCGGGTGTGTGCGGGTGTGGCAGTGAGAGAGTTAAAGTACCTTCCAGTAACACAGGTCACTCTGCCAAGCTGTTTAATAAGGTGTGGAAGGAAGAGCAAATCCCGAATGTTTGGTAAAAGTGAACAATTTTTCACATGTTCCAGGTTTGTCTCTGATTTTCAACGGCAGTCTCATACTCCGAGTTTGAGGAGAGAAATTCCTGTTAGTCACATGCCTTTGAGAGTTCATCATCAGAAGTTCTGGAGTATATACGTGCCCCAGGTTTTGGTTTGTAGCTCCGTGGTACGTTGTCTATTCAACAAGTAATAGGTCTGGAAAAAAATGCAGGCCCCCAAAAACAAACAAACCAACATAAAAGTTCTGACTGGATATCGCAGATCAAAAATTACTTTATACGATATTCATTGAAACTTGTCAAGTCATAGGTTTCATTTTTACAAATGTGACTGTAAGGGTTACTGATGGTTGAACAAGTACCTGTACCGTAACCAAATAGGCCTACGGCGAGATCTGTGGCCATAATTAACAAAATACATACAGCCTGTTTTCGATCTTGAAAAGTAACCACTCATGTGTATCTGTACTGTCCCACATAAAATCCTGATATGTCGAAAGAGAACATTATATCTCAACTAAAATACAAGTTGTGGGTATGAAAATTCTCAAAATATCACTTTATGAGTCAAGATACAGGCACCAGCACCCCTGTCAAAACCTTAACTGGCATATTTTCTTTCAAATACACGAACTCTACCACTCATCTGACTATCCTAGAGCCTAATATACGCCGTAAAATATCTTAAGCACAATAGATTAGGAGATACTAAAGTTTGAAGGAATCTTGCAGAGGTCGATTTCAAATGCTAACCGTAGCCATCTTAAAAACAAGCCTCAGATCCACCAGAAATGCTCCAGCTGAGTTTGTGTAAATACACCCCAAAATGATTACTCTTTTGAGAAATGCATTGAAAAATTACTTAAAATCATTTTTGATATATCAAAAGAAATAAACTTAAAATCATAACATTTTCCCGGTAACATGTCTTAGTCACCCTGGGGTGCCATTGTCACCCAGTTTACGGTACCTTATTTGAAAACCTTGCAGTATCCGTCGAAAACTTTGCACTGCAGCATTTTCTGGGTCCTCCACAGCTTTCATGTCATAGTCAAATCCACAGCGGCATATCACATCCAAGGTCTAAGGCAGGAAGGAAACAGAGGTCAGACATTACAAAGATACATGAATAGGAAGAGCCAATTTAATTAACAAACAAACTCAGAAGACAGTACTGCAGCTTTTTAAATGAGGAATAAATCATTATGACTCAAACTTTCTGTCTCAGTACCTATTGGCAGATGCAACAAGGGAAGTGTGTAAAAGAATCCTCTGTCTTATCTGGTGCAGGGGACAATATAACTCCAGACGTATGATGGGCACACTGACCACTTAACTTCCAGCTCAAGGTTGGTTTTTAATGAGGGGAGAGACAGAAATATTGTGTCAACAGAGCTTCTATATTAGAAATAACAAAAAATGCATTGTTGATTAGATCTGAAAGGCGCCTAATCATAACTCTTATAGATTTTATTTGAATTCTCTTTGCTTGTTTATTAGAATATATATAAAAATGTAATTCAAAATATTATTTTTTAAACATATTCCTCAAAATTAATGCAGCTTGCCAACTCACTTACAAAAACAAGTTATTACATTATAAAATAGTTGTGCTGTTAATTAAAGAAGGACGGTCAATAACTTGTGAGATTTAGAGAAAATCAAAAGGAGACCAAGAAAAAAATATTTTAAAAAATAAAATAAAATCAAAGAGATGGATCAGACTCACTAATCGGCCCATGTAGTTTTGAGCAGCGACAGTTGCTGAAGAAGATCCAGACTTTTTTAGCTCTTCAACCCAATCTCTAACCACTTTTCTTGAAAATTCTTCGAAGTCTGGGATGAAATCTGAGTCAATACAGAAGTTGTTAAATATTAATGCCAAAGATATATAAAGCACACATTCATGATGCTGAGCACAAACTTGAGGAAAAAAAAAAATCAAACTTAAAAGACTCTAAAATAATAATAAATAAAAGAGGGAGTGACATAGATTCAGTATCGTCACCATCAAAATAAACTATCAGTCAAAAAGTTTTGTTAATTTCACAATTTACAGTTTTCATTTATAAAAAGTCCTTGTTTCATGACTTTGCTTTTAGTTTTTTGTTGGGTTTTTTTTTGCTAAGTGTTTTACAGGGCTCACAACTGCACAAGGTCATATGGGCGCGCGGGACACATTAAACATTTTCAGTGGGTAGGAAATTTTGAATTTTGCCTGGGTGGCAGCCAAAGCCTACTCTTATAGATTTTGGACCACCAAGAGATCTTTAATGTGCGCAACTTATTCATGGGACCTCGAGATTTTTCGCCCATGTCCGAGAAGGCTAGGTTTTGATCTTTCCTACCATAAGATCAGGGGTGTGGCTGAAAGACAGCAATAAGAAGGAGCCCAGGAGTAGCAGTAGAAAGGCTGCAGAAAGAGTACGGAGCCCAGATGAGGGGGCAAAGGAGGTGAGGGGGTGGGGGCAGAGAGTGGAGAAGAAAGCACATGACAGAACATTGCTAGAGAGGAGGAAAGAAGGTGAAAGGAGACAATTTTAGAGAAGAAAAATTTTCCATCGCTATCCGGATTCGAACCTGGGACTTATTGAATGAGAGGCGAACATCTTAACCAGGAGAGCTTTAAGCTTATAAAGTACTAAAAAAAAAGAATCTTAAGACATACATCACCTAAAATGTAATGAAATAAGTACCATTCACAGTCTGTGAGTTGAAGGAAGGATTGATTATCTTTCTCAGGGCATGATGTTCCTCTCCACTCAAAGTCAACAGAAAGCCCGGCACAATGGAATTGAGATTTCTTGAAAATGAAAAAAAATGGCAAGAGCCAACATAAATTTATTGAACGTGCATTTATTGCCTCATGTTTTATAACAAGGAGATTTCATTAAAAGGATATTACACAACACGGCGAGTCATTTCAATAGAAAATCCTTTTCTTTAAAGTTTTTTCTGGCCATTTCAATAGGCCTATATATATATAGAAAGAAAAATATATGTAACTTTCATATCAAGATAACTCGTTACTTTTACAAAAATTCAAGACATCAAGTGACAGAGATCATAGTTCGAAACTTGCATGAGAGTGGACTTCCTGCCCATCTGTGGCAATCCCTGACTTACTGACTTTAAACTGAGCCAATGTAACCAAACATGATAAGCCTGACAGTTACCAAAAGGACACAGAAATAAGGCTTCCCCTTTTGCCTTTTTGAGACCAATGCAAAAATGACCCAAAAGGCAACAGTTGTTTTGAACCAATTTTCAGGTAATCAGATCTACAAACATTCCTCCAGATAACCTGAAGGGAGGAGAAAAAGTATTCAATACTGCAGGAGAACTATGGCTTACTGGGAAGACAAATCAACGTAATTCTTCGAGTTAGTGACCATGATGTGCTTGACAATTTCTGGATCTGCTACCAACACACGTTCTTCTCCATACAAAAAGTAAAATCGAATGATGCGAGACTTGCACTCCGTCATCCATCTGTGAAAAAATCGTTTGATTATGAGCGATATTGAAATTACACCAGGGGTAAGGAGACAATGGGTGAGAGTTGGAGCTTAGCAGTTTTTTAAATTGCTAAAAACAGAATTTGCTCATGCTATAAAAACAATTAAATTAAAATGCTGCAAGTAGTTTTATAATTGTCAACAATATTGAGAATAGCTTTTTCATAATAATTAATCAATACCTAACACTATAACAATACCTACTACACATGAAGTCAAGATATTTGACAAGTGATAAAAGTATTCATTTTTTCACACTCTACTTCTTATCAGAGAGGAAAAGTGCATTTACTTTTGGTAGCACAAACCCTGTATTGACAATGTAACATAAACCTCTCCTTTGTCTCCTCATTAAACAGTGAAGAGAAAAATACACACCCCAAAAAAAAAAAATAAAAGAAATTCAAGGCACCAAAATTTACAACAAAAAATTTACGAAGATCATCCAATGCCATATATATATTTGATAAATTGTCCTTGTCGCAAGTTCCCAACATTCTGTTCTCATGAAAAGGTTTTATACTATGCATTTTCTAAGTTCACACATCAACAAAGCAAGACTAATTTTAAGTATGTCGTTATCCATTTTGCTGTTATTATTATCTTCTGCGACAATATAATTATCCACTGAATTTATCCAAAAGAAAGAAAAAGTACATTAATGAATGCTTGATTCATAACATTGCCAAACAATCTGATGATTTTTTAATTCTTATATCTATTTTGACAGAAAAAGGCTAGACATTTTTTTCTACTTGCCTGATAGTGCTATTCAAGGCTTCTTCCTTAAGAGCTTCGAACATGTTACCAATCAAAGGTTTGTAAGGTCTTCCAGGCATCTGCAACAAAAACAAATCCTTAAGGCTGTTTCTAGGTTATTACACTTTTTTTTTCTACTTCAGACCAGTAACGTTTTCCTTTTAATTTTCGTTGTGCTTTTCACACAACAGACATTTTATTTTTTTCAAATGTATTGTTGATAAGTTTCACACATACTCCTTTTGTAAACAAAAACTATTATAAGCATATATTAAATGTTGTTGTTGTTGTTGTTATTCATCCAGCAACATCTGGGCTCTCGCCCTTCTGTCCAATGCCATGTAGTAACAAGTGCAGGTTTGCTGCAGTTGCTGTAATGTTCCGTAGAGTGTGTTGTCAAAGTTAGGTCTCGGAGGGAGAAGTGTAGCTCTGATGTCATTTAGGGCTGTACAGTGGAAAAGGTGATGTTCCACCGTCTCACATGCATAGTCACACAAAGGACACATTGGGGGAAGTTCTGGTTTTATTCTGTTCAAGTGAAAGTTGAGCTGTATATGTTCTGTTCGTAGGCGGAAGATCGTGATCTGTTTCTTTCTCTGTAGGTGGGTGATATTGTCATTTCGTTTTGTTGTAGTCATATGTTTGAAAACTGCTCTTCCTGTCTTTCCCAAGGCCCATCTGTTCATCCAATCGTGTTTGCTGTTGCTTTTAATGATTTGTTTTGCAGTATTGTATGAAGTTGGAACGTTGGGTTGTTCCTGTCTAGATCCCCTTTTGGCAAGTGTGTCTGCTCTGTCATTTCCAGGTATGTTTGAGTGTCCGGGAATCCACTGCATCACCAGGTTGATGCCACAGGATGTTATCAGGTGATGGGAGCCAAACAGTACATGTGTCAAGTCTTCGTTTAGATGACGGTCATTTTCTATTGCTTGCAAAGTGATAGTGAGTCAGTGAAGATCACTACACTCTTTGTTTTGTTTGGATGAGAGTCAAAAACTGTGCGGAGATGGTATAGTGCTGTTTCAATTGCTATCATTTCTGCATCATAGTTTTTGCATTTCTCTCCACAGGCAGAGGAGATCTCATTGGAACTTCCATCTGGGTACTGTATTAGTATTCCATATCCAGCTTTGGTTGTGCCTTTGAATACTGAGCCATCTGTATAGATTGTGTATCCAGTCATCTGAATAGCTGTTGATCGTTTGATGTGATGCAAGCATCAACTTCACTGGGTCTGAAGATTTTGCGCTATTGTCTCTGAGAGATGTTGTAATGATTGCTTTTCCATAGAAATGTGGGGAGGGATGTTTTGGTTGACTCCTTTGGTTTCTCTTCTGTCTTGTGGTAGATGGTGGCTCTCCATTAGTTCTGTGATGCAATGCATGATTGATTTTTGTTGAAGTCGCATCTTTGGTTTCCATTTTTCTACTAATTTCCAGTTTGGGTGGTTGGGGCACATTCTTTTGGTTCTTTCATGGAACTCCAAATCTGCTCTATCTCTGCGAATTCCCAGGGGTTCAACATTTGAACGAATTTCACATGCGGAGGTAGGTGTAGATCTCATGCCACCGTTTATGAAACGAAGAGCATTATTTTGGACCTTCTCAAGGGTATTGCAAGTAGTTGCACTACACATAGTGATTAGGCTATTGCTGTATTCCAGGGAAGATCGGACATAACCGAGGTACAGAGCTCTCAGAGTTTGTTTGTCTGATCCCCATGGACTGCTTGCGAGTTTCTTTAAAAGTTGGAGTCTTCTTTTCGCCTTGTTCTTTATGCTCTCCACTTGGCTTTTCATTCTTAGACTTTGGTCAAGTTTGACTCCTAGGTACGTTGATTGTTCTTCTTCGGGGAGATTTTCATTTCCTATCTTCAGTTGGAGTTTTTCTTTGGCTGTTTTATGGCTCTTTGTAAAGATGGTGTATACTGTTTTTGTGCAGTGTATTTTGAGCTTCCATTTCTGATAATAATTGTGGAGCCTCTTGATGTCTTCATTTAATTTTCCTGCTCCTACAACCGTGCTGTGATGTGTTTGCCAGAGAGCAAGATCATCAGCGCAGAGAGTCTTTTCTGATTTCAGCACGTTCGTCACATCAATAAAAGAAGATTAGGAACAAAGTGCAACTCAGACAGGAACTTTGGGGTTGGCCTTCCTCGAGTACTTCTCTTGACGAGTGGGCAGTGTTCACCTTTGTTTCGATTCGCTACGCTAGGAAAAACTAGATCCATTTATAAAGTTTCCTGTGTATCCCGAGGTCCATCATTTTCATGCATATATTAGATAAAAACAATCAGGTGTCATCCCTTGAAACAAGTACAGGTTGTCCATATAAATAATGCTTGACTCCACTCCATGAGTGCCTTAACAGAGTTAAAAGAATGAATACAAAGATGGAAACAACATTTACTTTTTAGATCACCGAGGAAAGAGTTATAAAACAATAAATTTATATATGACTAGTGGTTGGTGATCATGGTGTCATCATTTTTTGTATATCTCACCATTTGTCAGCTAAGCCTCCATCATTCAGTTTATTAAACATATAAAATTAACATGCACAACTTCCACAAATATAAGAAACATCCATTCCATGATCACTGAAAAAAAAATAATGGTGGAATGTTAATTTTATGTCTTTAACATTAAAACACTTAGTAATTTCATGGTACATATACTCGTAACTTACCTTCCGCAGAGGTGACAAGAAGGGCCTGATGAACAACTTGTAAAAGTACCATGATCCCACTGCTGCTGCAACATATGGCAACGTGTGCCTGACTGTTTCAGCTTTCACCATGATCTGCTATTATAATAAAGGCTGTTCACAGCAGTCCTCCACTCAGGCTGAAAAAATTTAAGCAACAAGATACATTTTCTAAATTCCACAGCTCAGAAGTGATCTTCAAATTTAAAACAATAAAAACTCTACAAGGGCCTATTAACAAAAATCTTTTTCATGACATCTATTTTGAAATTGAAAGTAAGCAATTAGGATCCAATGAACTAACAGAGGCAAAAACCCAGTAATATAATTTATAAAATTATCTTTTTCTTTCAAACACTTGAAGTGGTCTACACCTCAGAATTGACATTAAGAAGCCGCAGAACCAGTTTGATCGTTCTGAACACAAGCTTTAATAACAAAGTAGCTATTCGGACTCGAGTCTGAATAGCCTCCCTGTAGCTGTATTATTAGTATTACTCATATTCAGTTCATGTCCTATCAACATTATCACTCTGTGTCCATTGGGGACTTGACTCATGCATGTAGTTTCATTTGTCAGTTTGATCACTCATCATTTCATTCTGTTCTTTATCACTGTCTTCCATTTCATTTCAGTTGGTGTCGTCATCACTTGTACCCTCATTGAATCATTAAAAGTTCATTGACATTATCCGACAAGTGACGAGTCATTCTTCAAGACGACATCAAAGCAGCTTCGTTAGCTTCTCCGTTTAACCTGAATCCGCCATTTTTCTGCGCGTATATCCGCTGTTTGTTGCTCTGCCACCGCCGAAGTACTGAGTGCCGAAGTGCCCATGCCACCGACTCCACGAACCAAGGCTTCTCCTCCATAATGGTCTTTGTCTCTTGCCTTGCACCTGGCTGCGTGTATACAATGCTAGACCAGGACCCCACAGTGGTCTCCGCGTTGCTGAACATACATGCCTTCTCCCTAGTCTAACTGCAGCTTTCTCAAAGGGGTCAAAACCCCAGAGGTCAGTCAAGGATTGATATTGGCATCAACCAAGAAACATGGAATGCCTTTGCCGGAGATGGGAAGCCTTCAAGAATGGATCTGCAATCAGTGACTCTTCCGCTCCAACCCAACTCTTCCAAGGTGCCAGTGAAGCTCTGGGTGACCTACTGCTCAAAGCAGACCCCGGTATCACCTCTCGCAGTCTCAACGAAGTCCTGGAGGCGATGCGGAAGCTCGCTGTCATTCCTACAGCCAAAGGAGTACTACGGGCTGAGCTAATGCAGATGAAGCAAAGCCCAGATGAAAACTTTCGTACATTTACTGCTAGGGTGAAGGTCAAAGCTGAGACCGGTGAATTCACAGTCTCTGCTCAGGGCCAGTGTGGCAAGTCCGTCTATGCTGACAACACAGAGGACGCCTCCTGGGACGTCTTACTGGCAGGAATCGCCGACAATGACATTTGTCGAGAAGCCCTCAGTGCCACATAAATACCAAAAATAGACCTAAACCCTTTCCCCCCTTTCAGGCCTCTTCCGAAAGCAGCCACAAGCACTGATTATAGAGACTTACAATTAAACTGGTCGAGTCTATTCTGGAAAGAGGAGGGGGACTAACTCCAAGCATAAGCCTGACTGCTGTGAGGGCCAGGCTTTTTTTTTCCTATGATTTTTTCCCACCGATAATCAAACTTATGGTGTGATTATGGCACCGACTTCTGGCAAGGCAAGGCTAAATCAAGACTGCCAAATTTGAAACCAAATTAATAATGGCATTGTTATCATAGCTTCTACTAAAATAATATTAATGCTATGTTCTTTCATTTTGTGTATTCACATTTTTAGTTAAATTTTTTTTTTTTTATCTCTAAAACCGTTATGTCCACCCCAGATGAACAAAAAATTATAATTGCATTTTGCCCAGAGTTACAAATATGGAATGAGACATTTTTTCCATTATTTTGGGAGGTGTTTATTATGAATTCGGAATTTGTTTCATTTTCATTCCCAACTCTGAGACTCGACAGTTAAGTTACTCAATGATGATGATATTGTCTTGCATAAAAATCGCTGTTAATAATTAATTTTTTGTATTTGTGGTAAAGCTTTTCAGTGTTCTCGTGTATTGTAGAGGAATTCTTCGGTGCTAATCTCAGCAAAATGTGCATGGTTTCGGAAATAAAGCATTTAATTCAAACAAGAAGCTTTGACTTTTCAGCAAAGCTGTCAGCTAAGGAAAGAGGTAGGCCTACCTCTATTTTTATCTTTCTTGGATAGAGACAATGTAGGTTTCAAGACCAGTTTGAAAGGACACAGCTTTGCGGTTGTGAGTACAGGAAAGCGTTGTTTTGTTTTCCTTGTTTGTTTTTTAAATATGGCATAAATGAGTGGACAACAAGTGGTGTGAGCGACTTGGGAAACTTAACAAATAAGATAGGAAAACATGAAAAACGTGTGGACCATATTGCAGCTGCAGCCTCTCTGACAATTCTAGGAAAAGTAAGAATAGATGAAGCTGTGAACAAGGGCGTTCGTGTTAGCAGGGAACGTTATAATGCTGAGGTGAGCAAGAATTGCAAACTGCTTGCCCATCATAGACGCTGCTCTTTTCCTGGGGTGTCAAGGACTTGGATTTAGAGGTCACAGAGAAAGTAAGAGCAGTGACAACCGTGGAAATTTCATTGAGCTACTTGTCTGGTTTTCGCACATCTCAGCTACTGAGAAGTTGTGCTGCGCTTTGAGGAATGAAAATTCAGTATTCAGCAGCCTCAGTTAGGAAATTCAGAATTACCTTATTGAATGCATATTTGATGCTACCCTTGAAGAACTTAAATCTCGTATAGCAGGTGCACCGTGCATATCAATAATGGCAGATGAAATGACGGACATTTCTAATCATGCCCAGCTTACATTGAGCGTTAGACTTACAAGTTCACAATGCCCAAGTTTATGAACATCTGATAGATGTTGATGTATCGGAAGATAGAACAGCTAAAGGCCTGTCATCGGTGATACTAAAGAGTTTGAAAAATACTGGTATTACTGTTAACAAACATCTGCCAAACATGATTTCTATCACTAAACAATGTTTTTATGAAATTAAAATGTGGATGACAGTACAAGTAAACAAATTGAAACTAAATGAAGAAAAGACAGACATCATTCTTATAAAAAAATCCACGATTAAATAAAGATCTGGAACGTGTCAACTTTGATTCATTATATATGACATCTAGTAAAGAAGTTGTCAGGAATCTCTGTGCATATATTGACCACCACTTATCAATGGGCTCGTTTGTGGGATCTTTGTCCAAATCCCTTTATTTTCAGCTGAGAAGGATAGGCCTAGTTCGAAAGTACTTAAACGAAGAGACCACAAAAACACTGGTAACATCTCTTATCCTATCTAGATTAGACTTCTAACTCACTGCTAGCAGGTCTGAACAACAATTATTTGAATCGTTTACAAGTAATTCAAAACAATGCCGCTGGACTGATAACTAGATCTAAAAAACGAGACCATGTCACTCCATTATTAAAAGAACTGCATTGGCTCCCTGTAAAAGAAAGAATAATATTTAAAATCTGCGTCATGTGTTTCAAATGTGTAAATAAAACTGCTCCTTTTTATCTACAAGAACTTATCAGTATATATAAGCCAGGAAGAAACCTAAGATCATCAAACGATAACACCATACTTGTGACATCTGTAAAATCATACAAATCATGTATGGAGAGAGATCTTTCTCGTATCTTGGTCCATTTATGTGGAACAGATTACCAATGAAACTAAAACAAATAAAAACACTTGATAGCTTCAAAAGACATCTTAAATATTTTCTGTTCCTAGAGGCCTATCGTTCATAAGCTTTTAACGTTATTTTCCATTATAGTTGTTCAGTTCTTATGTCTGGATGAAAATAGTCTGTGTGTGAGTGTGTGTGTGTGTGTGCGTGTGCATTAATGTGTATTGCATGAGAAGAAAGGAAGTAGTAAGAAAGGTTTTTGAAAAATGGGTATTCCAATGTAAAGCGCATTGAGCTACTTTTTTGGAAATGCGCTATATAAATGTTATATATTATTATTATTATTTATTATTTAACACACTCTTATTGTCAACCAGTCATACGATGGGGCGGCTAACATGTCCAGTCACAAGAATTCAGTCAGGAAGCACATTCAAGATGTGTGGCCAAGAGCACCTTTCTCCCATTGTTATGCATTATAAAAATGGGCTCTCGTCAGAAAAGCCTGTGATGAAATCCGTGATGTCTGCAGGTTTTTTGGAGAGGTACAAAATTTGTGTAACTTTTTCAAATCTTCTCCAAAAAGAGCATCGCTATTAAAGTGAGTGCTCCTTGTCCTTGCCCAACTCGTTGGCTTTCCAGGGGTAAATCAATAGCTGCTTTGGAAGGTACCTACGCTGACGTTTTAAAGGTGTTGACCAATGTTTCACGGGACACATCATATGATGGTGTCACCAGGGCTGAAGCCAAAGGTCATCCTGTGAGCATGCAGCGTCAGAAATTCATTTTTTTGCTCAAAACATTTAAAAGAATCTTCAGCCATTCTGATCCGATGGCAAAGATGCTTCAGCGGAAGAACATATTGATCCTGTTTTAGTTGAACTGAAAATAAAAGACTATGTCACATGTTTGTCTGGCATGCGCTGTGATGACAGTTTCCATTTATAATCTGATAGCCGAGTCAGAGAAACAGCAAGTTTTACATCCTGTGCGCTCTCGGGCCCCTTGCATGCGTCATACGCTAGACAGTGGCTACACAGCGAGTGGGGAGAACGAATGGTATAAAAAAACATGTTTAAAGTCAGTTCGGTATGAAATCATAGACACATTATTTAAAAAAGGAGCTGGACCCGCTTCTCGGACATAGGCAGTTATCAGTGGGTACAACTGATTCACCCAAGGAATTTTGATCGCTTGAACAGAAATTTATCTGCAGTGGACAACATTTCGCAAAGCTTGTACGACATGTACCGATCTGTAGTCACGGACAAAGATCTCGAGGCACTGTAACGTGTAGTCAGCTGCAGATTCTGTACAATGACACTGCCGTCAGATCGGCGCTGAGTGATGCAACAGATGCTGCGTCCCTTTTGCTTGTGATGCACTCGCTGGACTTGCTTACAACAATGCCGATGGTGGCGACAGTGCTGTCACTTGCTGTGACTGTGTCATTGACAAGCGTTGATTGCGAGCGTACGTTTAGCGTTCTCCGACAAGTAAAAAACTACACTTGCTCAACGATGGGACAAGACCGACTGAAGCATAAGATGGTTCTGTCAGTTGAGAGCACTATTGTTGAAACGCTGGAAGTATCTACATCATTGATAGGTTTGCAGCGAAAAGGGAAAGGCGAATAAATCTACTGTACAAACAGTAAAAGGGAAGTCGCCCTGTTGACAGCCAATGCTTTTTACGTTATTCGGGCATGATGTATAAGCTGCTTTGTTGAGGTTGATATGGTAAGATTGTACTTTACCGGACCACCGGTCGGAACTACTTTCGCTGTGGCGCCCCTGGTGCCTAGTGGCCCGCTGTTCTTCGTTTCCGAGCTCCCCTACTCACTCTCCTACTCAGTTTTCTACATCCTCACTCTTCAACTGCCAGCAATCGACTGACGTCTCTTACCGGGTTTTTCAGTCATCACGACCGTGCCACTGTGCCCTTTGACCCATGACCCTGACACCTTGAGGCTAATTGGTCAATCTAATCACGTGGTCCACTATTCTTATTTGCTCGCGACTCTGCTGGCTTGGCCTAGGCCTACTCCTGGTCCGGCAAAGTACAATGGAGGGCTAGAGATGCGCACGAGAGCTCATTTGCATAATTGCAACCCCATTGGCCCTGCTCGCAACTTATCATGCTATTGTTTATATGTGTGTGTGAGTGTCTTTAAATTATTGTTGCCAGGGGGGCTAGCCCCCCTGAAACTCCCCCATTGATATATAAACACGACTGTCCGCTCATGTTATTGTTTCGCATTTTTGTGTGTTTTCTTTATTATAGTTTCCAGGGGGGCAAGCCCCCCTGAACCCCCCACCCCCACCCCACTGTTGGTTACAAGTTGGTATGATACACGGTGGTCCACCAAAGTTAAATCCCCTGCCCAGTCTCAACCACCACCTCTCGCTCACCCCGCCTCGCCAGTCGCCGCTGACTTCGCTGTGCGTGCGCAAAGTCGCCCGCAGAACTACCTTTTGTCAGCATGCACAGTACTATGAGTTAGGCTAGGCGTGCGTAGTAATCACGGGCCAAGACGGGTGGTCCGGTAAAGTACAATCCAGCCGTTGATATTTTTCAACTCGTTTTTACTTCCATTTAGATCTAGAATCTAGATAAATCTATATCTAGATATCTAGTTCTGTTGGATTGGGTATTTTATACTCTGTTTTTGTTTTGAAGGGATTTATAGACCTACCGGTACTTACTTTGAAAATTTATTTTACTGTGCACGAGATACAGGCGTATGAAACTGGGCTAAAAAAAAGTGAGGGAAATTTTGGGTGTGCTTGTGGCTTATCCCCAGCAAGATCTTCGTCTCAAACTCAAACTGATTACTTGAGTATTACTTGGTTACCCACTGTCACACAACAACAACTTGCAACAAGTCAGCCTTCGCCCCTAGATCTATCTTCGACTATTGGAATTTCGTAATAAAAGTGTTCAGAATTTGTTCTTGTTCTTCACTTACCTCAAACTTTTAAACCGCCCATTCCACGTTAATTCAACACTGCTCTTGAACAAGCGTCTCTCTTTAGGCTCAGATCTACAACTGAAATCGTAGCGTCGGTAGGCCAAAGAGAGAGTGTAGAGTTAGAGACGAGGAGAAAGCAAAACAAAAACAAAAGTAACCTTTGACCTAAAAAGACTTTTTAGACTTTAAAAATAAGAATCTTAGTTTGCTCATGAGACATGAATTAAAGAATAATAATATGACGAATTCGTACAATCTAAAATATTCCTTTAATATCTATATCACTACTAAAACTAACTGAGAACAGTTCACAAATATATAAGGATAATTATCCCAGCTTTGCAATACAGCAGTTCCAATCATCCCTGTTGTTTCATAAAAGCAGAAGAAACCAACGAAACAAATGAACGATTCTTGTATTTTAGTTTGACACCCTATGCGTTCTACGTCATAGGAAGTTGTGGCGGAAATATTCAAAACCTTTGTTTACTAACACGCAAGGGTTGATCATCTCGTATTCAGTCAGTTAACATATCAAATTCCTAAATTGATTTCAGGGTCCTATCGACGTTCACGATGTAATACTCAGCGTTGTCTGTGTTGTGTTCGATCGGAGAGGCCTATCCCATTTAAACTTCAACATGCTGCGGTAAGACTGGCTGTCACGAGACGAGAATTTACCCTGCTGCCTGCTGATCAAAGCCAAAGTCGGCCAAAGCAGGATGAGTAACTTCCGTAACGAGCGACCACCCCATCAAACACAATAAAGAAGAGGCCTAGACCTAACCCTACCCCTAACCCTAACCTTACCCCTACCCCAAGCCCTCAATTTTGCTGTCTTATAGTGGTCGCTCGTTACGGAAGTCCTCCCAGCCTGACTCCCACCTGACCTCTCGTGGGCCGATTAAATCACCTAGGCCCATGGTACTTACCATGGTTCAGAACGAATAATAATAATAATTACGAAGTGTATAGATTTAGATCTAGAAATCTAGATCTAGATCTACAGACACCGTAACCGGGAACAAAGTCACGAAGTATGGCCACCTCTATTCTCACCCGGGGTGAGAATAGTGCAGGCGAGTCTTTTGGCTATTCTCACCCGGTGCGCGTTCACCGTTATAGCTTAGATCTAGGCCAACAAATTTTGCGTTCACCCACAGAATTCTGCACTGTGATAACAGAAAAATTGTAGAATTTTGTGCTGTGAACAAACGTTCCATTACAATTACAACTGTACTTGTAGCCTACTAAAAGCGTACAATTTTGTCTGTGGGCAGTGGAGAGAGAGAGAACAAAACAAAATGGCGACCCGCGTAGTTCGGCTCGATTCGAAAAGTTAAATAGCCGTAGCATCTTTGTAAACAACCAAATTAATTTACTTTTGTCTTTTAACATCATTTTTTAACTTTGTTTTGGTCAATTTGATCGTCCACACCGATAGACAGTATTCAGAAAGAGACAGAGAGAGAGAGAGAAGAGGGGAGGAGTAGATCTTGCGAGAACTTCCGGGCGGGTGAGAATAGCCACTTTCACGAAGTATACAGACCCGGTAGGGGAAGTCTTTTGTGATTTCGGAAAGTTTCAGCGCCCAGACCCGGTAGAGAAGAGAAAGAGAGTGTGTGAGTGTGAGGAGAGAGGGGGGGGGGGAGGGGAGGGGTAGAGAACAGGGGGAAGTGCTAGACAGTGGAGTCCACTTTTAACGAGTCCTGGAACAACGAGAAGTCTGTTATTAAGACACTTTTCTAAAACCCCGTTTTTTTCCCTTCTTTTGCAAATATAATACTGCTATAGAGCTCAATCGGACAAACGCGGGAGTCGGTTATAGCGGAATATTGCTGCTGCTGTGCACAGCGCACAGGCCAGTTATACACATATATATAAACCTAGCCAGTTGAGAAACCTGTTGGTGATCTAGCGAAACCTAGGACCTTACATCAACTCCTTGAGCGAAACAAAGAATAGGAGAGCCTACGTTTGCCAACAATGATGGCCTGAGCGAATGAGTGGGGAGGGTGTGGTAAGCGCAGACAAGCAGAACGCATCGTGTGATAGGCCAGCCTAGAGTCTAGATTATCTAGGCCTACCACTACCCATGTCCTCACTTCTCCGATGCGGGAATGGAGAGGTCACAATGACAATGCTGTGATGGATGGAGTGAATGTGTTGTGTAGTAACGTGTGCAAGCAGACGAAACACACCACGGGTGTGGTGGGGTGGGGGACAACACGACAGGCGAGTTCGCCTAGAGCGCATTCTTTCTGATCGCCAACGCCGTGCTGTCAACATTGCTAGCGCTTGAGAAAGAAACCTGATTCAATTTTTGATCAAGTAAGACCTAGAGGTCATGTTGAACAATGTCATCGTCAGGGTAGATAACAAAAAGAAATAAACAGAGAACACCAAACTGATAGATTAGGCCTACTTTATTATTTCCATTGAATTTATTACTGGATTCCTTATAACGAGAATCCTGGTATAACGAACATTTCGCACCGGTCCCCTACGTCTCGTTATAATAGGATTCCACTGTATTACCATGCCCTAGTTGACAGGAGGGAACGAGAGAAATATAATATAGAGTGGGAAAGTAGGTGGGGTAGAAAGAATTTAGACAGATAAAAACAAAGAGAAGGCAAGCGATACACAGACAGAGAGACAGAGAGAGAGAAATAGATCTAGAGAGGGTGACTGCTTTCTTGATTGAAATTATGACTTAAATTGCTCTTTTCTTCAAATTGTCTTATATTATGGGTTCCTTCAACTCTAAAACGGAGGAAAAACGATCGTTCATCGAAAAGACATCCGCAGTCTTCATTCAATTTATGGCCGTCTTTATTCGGACTCGAGTCCGAATAACATTTTTTCATATATTCGGACTCGAGTCGGAATTTAAAAAATTCATATTTCGAATATATGAAAAAATGTTATTCGGACTCGGGTCCGGAAAAAAGGAAGTGTGTCTTCGTTCTATAGATATTTAACATTCAGTGCTTCCAATTTTCCACCATTTTTTTAGTTTCCCCCACACCTTATCTGCCAATCCGATGCCCGCCGCCTCATTGATACCCCCCCCCCCCCCCCCCCCGATGTTTCCCACTTTCTTTGTTGTAGAAAAAGGTAAAATTGATAACAAATCTTTCCTTATCCTTTCTGACTCTCTGTCTTGCATCACCTCACTCACAAACTACACACTCTTACACCCAAAAATAGTTAGGCTACAACAGAAAATCCATACACTATCCGAAACAGGAAAAAACATCATGTTCGCATGGATCCCAAGCCATGTGGGCATCCGAGGAAACGAGCAGGTAGACGACCTGGCGAAGAAAGCCTCATCCCTTCTGCTGGGATCAACGACAAACACTCTCCCACAGACTGACTTTAGAAATAAAGTCAAAAAGTACACCTCCAGTCTGTGGGAGAGCCACTGGGAAAACCAGAAAAATAATAAATTATACGAAATTAAACCCAGACTAGAACAGCGAAATCCTTCGGATCTCTCCAGAAGAGACGAAGTCATTTTTACTCGATTGCGCATCGGACACACGGCCCTGACTCACAAATACCTCCTGCAGGGAGAGGAGAAGCCGTTCTGTGTCGGATGCGACACAGATTTTACCATTAGACACATTTTAACAGAATGTCTAGACTTTGGAGAGATCCGAAGGAAATATTATAAATGCAAGAAATTGCAGGATATTTTCTCCGTCGTTGTTCCCAGCAGAATTTTAAATTTTATAAAGGCCATTGGCCTTTATGGCGAGTTGTAAAGTGAATCTGATATTATTTAAAATTTTTATTGTTACTTAAAAGTTGTTTTAGATCACAAATGAATTTACACCGAATTTGAATATTTTAACTTTTTAGCATTTTAAAGTAAACTAGTTACCAGTCGTGAAGTGAACTTTCGCAGAGGTGAACAACTTGTGTTTCGCGCGCTCATATGACCTTAGCAGTTGCGAGCGCCGTAAAACCTTATACTACTACTTTTATCACTCTTGCCAATGCGTGGGGCACAGGCTCCTTCTCTCTTGCACTAGGCCTATCAAGGCCTAGTGCACGCCGAATTCAAATAGTGAAAAAAAAAACCTAAGTAAACAAAACTCAAAAAAATTAATTTAACTTGGTAATCGGGCCTTAAAATGGGTTCCCCGCGTAACTTTTGCAAATTTTGGGTCGCTGATCACGAAAATCTTATTATTTCTTAAATTTGGCCAATATTTAAGAAATTTTTGGAATGCATTTTTAACTCCGCCTAGGCCAACATCAAAGAAGCCGCCTTATGCGCCGGATGAGTCCCGTCCTGGTGCGGTGTCTGTTTTGAAGCAAAAAACTCGACTGTGGGGTGGGACAGCCCTAGGCCTAGGCCTATCCCATGACAGGACTGTAATAGTGAGGTAGAGATTTAGATTCTTGCCTCGATTCTCGGAGTCTAGGCTAGGAACTAGGCTTTAAAAAAAAGGAGACGGGAGGCGTCGACCCTGGGCGGAGTCGAAGCTTAGAGTCTGGGAACATGGAACAAGATCGATTCTTTGAGTCCTCATTTGGAGTCGAAAGAATCGATCCCAGAGTCGATCTTGCCCTGGCCTACAGGAAGCCGGAGTCACGAGTCACAGGAAGTCGGAAGTAATGTCATGCTGGACAAGAATCAGAGTCCGAATAACATTTTTTCATATTCGGACTCGGGTCCGAATAGTCACTTCGTTAATTTATTAAATATCTAGGCCTCGAAACTAGATATGATTTACGGAGTGTCTACGTACACGGTAACCGGGCTCGTAGCCTCAGTGTCTACGTACACGGTAACCGGGCACGTAGCTCAGTGTCTACGTACACGGTAACCGGCAACCGGGTGCCTCTCACTACGAACACGGTAAGCGGGTATTTAGTTTCGTGAGAGGGGGGGGCTTGAGCTAGGTGCACGGTAACTGCTTTGCTCCCTTCATGACGTTGACATTAATTTTTCCTTTTTCATCGTGTAGTCACAATGTCGCATACACGATAACCGAGCGCGTAGTCTCAATATCTACGTACACGGTAACCGTGTACTTAGTTGTGGGGGGGTGCGGAAGGGGGCTTGAGCTAGGTGCTCGCACGCCACGGTAACTGCTTCGCTCCCTTCATGACGTTGACTTTTTCCTTTTTCACCGTGTAATCACAATGTCACACAAACGGTAACCGGGCTCGTAGCCTCAATATCTACGTACACGGTAACCGGGCGCCTCTCATTATCTACGAACACGGTAACCGGGTATTTAGTTTCGTGGGGGCTTGAGCTAGGTGCATGGTAACAGTTTTGCTCCCTTCATAACCTTGACCTTTTTCCTTTTTCACCGTCTAGTCTCAATGTCACACACATTGTAACCGGGCACATACCCTCAATATCTACGTACACGGTAAACGGGCGTGTAGTCTCAATGTCACATACACGATAACCGAGCGTGTAGTCTCAGTGTCACATACACGAAAACCAGGCGCGTAGCCTCAATATCTATATGGCTCTTTTCGTCTATGCAGACGGTCAATTTAGCTTAAGATGGTCTCAAGGTTGTCTTCAAGCAGCTTCTTTCATGGCTAATTCTTCCTATGTTTGAAGCGCAGATTCTGTCGCAGTGCTTGCATGTCAGTGTCGTAGATCGAAGCTCTGTATTTCCGCTGTTTTCCTTTCGTCGTTGGCGCTTCTCAGCCTGTTTGTTTCTAAGGCTGTTCTCTAGCATTTTAGTTCTTTCCTTTATAATTTTCCTCCATGTTTTCCGGTCCTCAGCTATATCTTCCCAGGTGTTAACATCTACTCCAAGTTTAGATAACCTGTTTTTGCAGGTGTCTTTGTACCTCAATTTTGGTCTTCCTCTTTGTCTCTTTCCCTGGGCAAGGTCTCCATAGAGAAGTTGCTTCGGAGTCCAGTTGTCTTCCATTCTCTTGACATGGCCAAGCCATCTCAATCTTTTTAAACACAGGATAGTTGTCATGCTCTGGAGGTTTGCCCGTGCCAACACTTCAACATTTGTAACCTTGTCACGCCACAAAATGCCTAAGATCTTGCGGCAGCATCTGAGATGGAAAATGTTGAGGCGCTTTTCTTGTCTGCTGTACAAGGTCCATGTTTCAGATCCTTAAAGGAGTGTGCTGAGGACACATGCTTCGTAAATCTTGATCTTTGTTTTGATGGTTAATCTTTTGTTTTCCCATACTCGTTTTGTCAGCCTTCCAAAAGTTGTTGCTGCTTTCCATATCCTGATGTTGATCTCATAATCAAGTGAAGTTGTAGAGCTGATGGTAGACCCCAGGTAACAGAACTTGTCCACTGTCCCAAGTTCCTTGTCATTCAGCAATATATGGCTCTGCTCTGCACCTTCTTGGGTAAGGATGACTGTTTTCTTAACACTGATGACCAAGCTAAAGACCTTGCATGCTGTTGATAGGCGGTTTGTAGGGTTGATTCACTGTGAGCAACAAGAGCAGCATCATCAGCGAAGAGAAGGTCTCGTACTGTAGTTTTGTTGATCTTGGTCTTGGCCTTGAGTCGAGCAAGATTGAAGAGCGACCCATCAGTTCTCCAGTGGAGGAAGACATCCCCTGGTGACTCTTTGAATGCGTGTTGCAGTAAGACAGCAAAATAAGTGCTAAAAAGGGTTGGTGCTAAGACACAACCCTGCTTTACTCCGCTATTGATGTTGAACCGTCAAACTGAATGGAGGCCTTCATATCTTCGTGGAATGAGATGATGAGCTGTAGCAGTAGCAGTATTGGGGGACAGCCAATTTTTCCAAGCACCATGTACAGTCCTGATCTACTGACTGTATCAAAAGCCTTTGTCAGATCGACAAACGCAGTATGTAATGGCAGTTGTTGCTCCCTGCATTTTTCTAGTAGCTGACGAATTGAAAAGATCATGTCCATTGTTGAGCGGTATGATCTGAAACCGCATTGGCTCTCTGGTAGGACTCTTTCTGCTAGTTTCTGAAGTCACTTCAGGATGATCCTAGCGAAAGCTTTTCCAGTGATGCTTAGCAGTGAGATACCTCTGTAGTTGTTGCAATCTCCTTTGTCCCCTTTGTTTTTGTAGAGTGTGGTGATTTTGGCATCTCTCATGTCATGTGGAATTTCTGCTTTCAGTTCAGCCAACAAGTCGTTAGTAGCTTGTAGAGATATGGGAGGAGAGTCTCTTTGTAAAAATTGTTCTCTTTCAGCACTTCAGCAGGTATGTTGTCATTTCCTGCTGCTTTTCTGCAAGCGAGTACATCATTATGTACACGGTAACCGGGTATTTTGTTTCAGGGGGGGGGGGCTGCGCTTGAGCTAGGTGCACGGTAACTGCTTCGCTCCCTTCATGACCTTGACCTTTTTCCTTTTTCACTCCGCTTTTTGTGTGTTGTGAGAGGAATGTAATCCCCAAAATGATCCCAATCTACCCCCTGTCATCTTTCCTAAGGGAGAGCAAAATGCAGTGACACTGAAAATCTGCGAATCTGGAACAGAAAGCTAAAATATAGATGTTTACAAAACATTTAATACTGTCACGAGAGAGAGAGAACGAGACTCAGAAAACAGAGAGAGGGGGAGAGAGAGGAAGGAAGAGAGAGGGAGAGAGAATAAAAAAGTATGCACTTGATGAGGTCATTACTCTCTTAAAACAAAGGACAATGAAACAAACGTACTATCAGACTATCACCAAGGAGATCCTTGACTATCACCCATCCAATGAAACGCTGACCTTTTGGTATAAAAACACGGCTTACTAGGTATGAGTATGACGGATCCCAATTCCGTACAGGGCTTGCACCAATGCACGCTTTTCCGTAGCAGGAAGCTCTAGTAATAATCAAAATTCTAAATACTAAAATTTGCTTCCAAGTTCAGTTTTTGTCATCCGATGTTGCCTTCAACCCCACCCCTCCCCCCGACTGTACCTTTTAAAAAAATCAATAATCCCACCATTCCAGAGCCCTATACTTCGTGCAGCGCACACTTTGAATGAACTTTGGTGACCCCAACGATCACTGGTACTGCGAAGGTACAGGTTCACTGACCGGTCACGATGTCGAGCCCGACAAGACGCTTGTATAACTTTCTTTTTTTCCGCAAGTAAAAGCACAGGACAATGATTTATTTTCCTGGCGACACAGCGTTTGTAATGCACAACCTGTATGGTACAAATGTTGTGTTAATCAGACTGCTAACGGCAAATTTCTGGGAGGTAAAGAAAGCGAAAGTAGATCGAGCTTCGGTACCTCCCATACACTTACGCTTGCCGCCAAAGCGCCTGTTCATGCCTAAAACTTTCTTTTGTTTTCGAAAAAGAGTTAGCACTTGCAACACAATAAGTTCATATAAGTTAAGTGCCGAAGATTAGAGGTGTTAGTGTTTCAAGAGAGTAACAAACACAAAAAGAAGGAAGAGAAAGATAAGGATGATAGATGTTGAATATATGAGAGAAGGAGCAGACCACACCAGAGCACCCACCAGCCACCCACTAATACTATCTTTACACACATCACACTTACAATCACTCACAAAAATACATAGACATAGAGAGGGGGGGAGGGAGAGGGAGAGAGAGAGACACACACACATCATGCATATATACACGTGTGAATAGCCTCTATATATGTATAATTAATACATAGCATGTCACACACACACAAATCACACAACACGACGGCAGCCGGCAGCCTTACTTGGATACTTGGATATATAGAACTGGGGTCTTAGGAAGACGGGTTGCTCCGTGCTTCCTCGCCCCTCTTCATGAGGGTCCATTTCAGTGTGGGCAGGCTGATTGTCTCCATCATCAGCTGGTTGTTGTAGTGTTTGATGAGGTCACGCAGCCTGCTCCTCCTACCTTCACCAGGCTGCACTCCTTTCGCAATCACAATCTCCTTCGTGAAGGAGTCCTCTTTATGGCTGCTGGCTAGGTGTTCTTGGACAAAGACTACTACAGTTGGACGGTCAACTGTCATCAACCCCGATGACCATCATTTTTCTGTGTTGTTGTAGAATAAGCAAGGGACGGCAGCCTGCCCGCTCGGATTAGATCTATTTTCTTTGCAACTTGCAGAACTGTTTGGTTCGGTTGTCTGTGATTGTGCAGCACCCTTCTTCCGCCCAGATTGATTCTGATGCTGTACACTACGTAAACTGAGAAGAAGAAGAAGTCTAAGAGTAGGTCTACATCAATTTGGATACAAATGCAAGTTCAAACAAAGTTCAACGACGCTGTTTAAGTGATTGACTGTTTCGATCCGGATTATTTCTTTATAAGTTTTGTAAGCACAAGAAATTAAGCACTTACAAGAGATTTGACTCAATAGGACGCTGACCCGCAAATGGAGTAGAACTTGATCAAGGGGAAGGAGCTTGGAAACTGCCAGTGCAAACCATGCACTATGCAAAATCATCACTGTTTTTTAGAATCACAATCAGATTCCGCGGCGGGCTTCCCCCTTGCGAGGTCAAACGCAAACAAGATGGCTGTTACTATAAATATCGGCCAATGGCGTTTAATTGTCGTTCTCTAATCATCCGCTTGTCCAACCTGTTGTTACCTTTTAAGTTTTTAAAAGTCTTTATTTTCAATTTTATTACTTTCTATAATAAATTAAACTGATCAACTCCGAAGACCATCATTTTTCTGTCTTGTTGTAGAACAAGCAAGGGAAAGCCCTAATAAAAAGCAACGTTGGTTTATGTCCTTTTGGTGTTTTTTTTTAGATTTTTCCGGCGAGGCAACTTGAAAAAAAGACGGAGTGCATCGTGTCCTAATCTTGCCGAGTACGAGCCAGTCACCGAGGATGGGTCTTACAAGAGAGCTGAAGATTTATTTGATTCTTCCAGTGGGTCTGAAGAAGTAGAAGGTATACATGTATATATGTTTTGATAATTGGTTCCACTGCTTTTCTACTCAGTGTACATTGCCTGTTTTAGTACTTTTGAGGAGGGGTTAATTATTAATGATGACACCAGTGCATACTATATAATACAAATATTGGCTTCTGGTTTTGCTTCATCAGATCTGGCCTGGCAGCCCATTATTCATTAAATAAATGATCAAATCATAATGACTTTCTCAGTCCATTTGTGCAAACAAAAGATCTGACCATGCAAAGCGTAGTAGAAGCCTTTTGTTTTCTTCCAATGTATCAAAAGTATAAAATGATCACCAAGAATCTGGGATTAACGGAGGATATTTTTGTGCGAGTTGCTGGAGAAAGTCACTGGTCCATCTTTTCTTTTCACCTGTTGCTTTTGTCCTTCCTTCCTATTTTTTTTTGTTGTTTTTTTTGGTCACCAATGTGTTACCTTTCACCACTTAACCTTTCTTGTTTATAACAAACTTTCAGAAACTGAGAGCGAGGAAGCTTTTGCTAGTCGGCAAGAAAGGCTTACAGCACAGCGGTCTATTAGACGAGTGCGGCAGAGAGAGAAAGCTAAACAGGAAAATGTGGAGAAGAGTAAGTAGCATTTCACTTTCTGCTTCAACCATCAGTAAGTCTGAAAGCATAAAAATTTGACTTGAAAAAAGCCTGTTATCAATTGTTTATTACGATTTTATAAATGAATGGATTTACCTTAAGAGTAAACTACAATTGGAGCATACCGACATCTTCAGTTGTTTCAATGTTGAAGATGAGAAGAATTAAAAGAAAGTGACCCATTTGATGCCATGATGCAAGCAACCTTTTTTAATTTGGGAAGTGTACTACTATTCCTTAACTGCTATTGTTTTGCATACTCTGCCAAATTATTCCTTCCAAGTGTTTTTGAGAGTGCTTATATAAATGTTAGTTCTGTGAGTGCTTAGAAGAACAGATGTACACTTTATCCTTCATTCTTGTCCATCTCCTTAAATTTTGCATTTGCCTTCGCTACTCTTTGTTTCCAGAAACTTGAGACTTCACATTTGCTCACATTTACATTTAAACAATGTGTTACAGTAGTCTCCGCCTAAACGCACGCTCCGCTCAAACGCACGCTTTCGTCATCTGACGGGTTTTTTTACTATATAATTTAGACATGCAAACGCACGGTCACTCCCTCTAAACGCACGCTCCGATCCGCGAAACACGCCGACAAGTTAAGCTTGGCGAGGGGAAATTTTCACTACAACGTGCACCGCCTGCATAAGACAAGCCTAGAATTTACTAGAAAACGGGATATTTGGTGAGAGTGCCCCTCACACTGTACAAAGAGAGTGACGGACTGCGCATAGGTCTCGATCTAGGGCTGGTCGGTTAAATGTTGGGGGGTGGGGGGGGGGGACTGAAATGTTTTTTGATTGGTCACTGGAAATGTATCTTTGAGAGAAGGTTTCTGACTGGTGTTTGAGTGACTCTGACTGCGCGTAATGTTTAGTTAAATTTAGGCCTGATGCGCGACACGCGCGAATGCCGTAAAACACTAGACAGGCCTCTATAGGATTTTAAAGATTAGCCAAGTAAGCCTATTCAGCTGTACTCGTAGAATTTATAAAGTACTTGTTTAACGAATCACAAGAGAAAATGTTTCTCGGGGATGATTCTGCATGAATTTACAGTCGGGGGTGGTCGCTTGGAAAGCCACGTGGCTGGTCCGTCGTCTCTGTGACCATCACCGCAAAGTTTCCTCTTAGGCTATCTGTTCCCGACGTTTACAGTGCATATTCATTACATTGAGTTTGTATTTCTCCCCCTCCCCATTCAACGCCTTTGTATTCTTAACCCCTGTCGTGGAATCCTTCACAAAACAGTCACGTGTCGTCACATTATCTGCCAAAATGACCCCTTCCCTCCAAGGGAGGTCACTAGAGTAATAAGGAATTGAGATGACTGTGTCCCTTCCTCCCCTTGCAAAGGTTCATGTAAACGCATACTCCGTATAAACACACGCTAAGGAGCCCTCCCGAGCACCGTGCGTTTAGACGGAGACTACTGTACATATATCTATGTGGAGGCTTTTCAAAGGCTTCTTTTTCATTTTAGTTGAAGTGCCTGTTAGTGAGCTTATTAGCCATGTATGTTGAATGATGGACATTTAGTTGTAGTTTTAGTCTTCAGTGAATCTTGGTTACCGTTACATATTATGGCTTCTTTTCTATGGTGTGTTCTCACTGAAATTTCTGATTGATTTATTTGATCTATCCATAGATCTGATATCCCTGAATGATTACTTGGGTAAAATGTCTGAACTGAAAATGTGGCTGCAGGAAGAGGTATGGAACAATGTAATATTGTTATGTCCATGTTTTTGCATGTATTGTAAAATCTCCTGTTTTACCCTTCTACTTGTTCACTTTGACATTTTATAATTCATTAATGTAAAGGCATTTTTTAATAGGTCTCATGGAGACTTACAAATTAATATGAATTCATTGATTAGGTAGACCATCAATGTGTGTCTTCTTATTTCTTTTGCTTCAATATTTTCTTGTATTGATGAACTCTTGCTAGTTACTTGAAAGTTTTATTTGCTTTCCACACAGAAAAGGAAAAATGTAGATGCCATGAGATCACCAAAATTACGAGAATACTACAAAACCTTCATGAAACTGTGGAACAAACGGAAACTGCCCCCGAAGTACTATCGTGGATGCTCAGTGGATCTGCCTGATGCGGTTTCTGAGTCCCCAATGTCAAGATACACGGCTGTTGTACAACCTTCCACTCCAACTTCGCTGGCTGTCCTTCCATCTGCCTTAGACATCAGTATTGATATGATGGAGGAGGGTGCCGCTGAGTCCCAGTTTTCAACGTTTGGGAAATCGTGCGATGCAGACTGTGCCCAGTCAGAGGCTTCTCAAACCCAGGTGAAGTAACTGTTCTTGTGTGAAGGGGTATGAAAATCAGTAATAGCATTTCATTTCATGTATGAGGTATGAGATTCAGTATTGACATTTTTGGGTGGTTTGAAGTATGAGGTTTGGTAATGAAATTTTTGGGTGGTTTGAAGTATGAGGTTCGGTAATGACATTTTTTGTATGAAGTTTGCTGACTGCTTACTGATCCCATAATCCAAGAGGATCGTAGGGGGCTCGGTATGATAAGAGGTGCCTCCACTTTTCACTTTTTTTTCTCCTTTTTTTTTGCGAGTGCCTGAGTTTAGGAGAACGATTTCCCTGTCCACTGCGCAATGTTGTGGGTCCACCTCTTTCTTTGCCTTCCTCTCTTTCTCCTCCCCTGCACAGTTCCCTGAAGAATGGTCTTGGATAGGCCGCACGATTTTGTTACATGACCATACCAATTCATTTTTCTTCGGTTCACAGTAGACTGCAAGTTTCAATAGTGGCTCATATGTTGTTTCACTTTACTGTGCACTTCCTCATTTTTGATGTGGTCATTGACTGAGATGCCAACTTGTCGTCTAAGTTTAAAGAATCTCATTTCAGCTGCTTGGATCTTTCTCTGCAGCTCTGCCATCAAGGTCCATGATTCACAAACATACAGAAGGATGAAGATGTCGAGGACATAGAGTAGTCTGATTTTGGAATTAACTGATATGTTTCTGTCTTTCCATATTGGTCTTAGTTTTGTAAGTGCCCCTGTTGTTTGTTCAATTCTTGCATGGACTTCTGGCTTGGTTCCTTCTTGGCTGATGATAGCACCAAAGTACTTGAACTGGTTGACTGTTTCAAGCTGTTGACCATTGACTGTAATTTTGGTCTTACTGGGTTCGTCACTATTTCTCATCAGCTTTGTTTTCTCTGCATAAATTTCCATGCCATATCTAGTTGATGTTTCATCCAGTCATTTCTCCAGTCTTGCGAGTTCTTCTTCATTTCCTGCCGGTCCGTCAATGTCATCGGCAAACTTGAGGATAGTAACTATTCGTCCACTAATGCTGACTGTGCTCGTATGATTTTAAAGGGCATCAGTCATGATTTGTTCAAGGAAGATGTTGAACAGAGTAGGTGATAGCAGTCAACCTTTGCGTACACTGACGGTAGTGTTGAACCATTCTCCTATTTTCCTTTTGGCGACGACTGCTCTGATAGCTTTGTTGTGCAGCTGTATGAAGCATGAGATTCAATTATAACAATTCTTTTGTGAAACAATATTAGATTCAGTTATGACATTTCTTATGTGAAGAAGAGTTTCAGTGATTTAATGGCATGTCTTGTGTGAAGTATGATTTAGTAATGACAATTCTTAACTGAAGTGTGAGATTCAGTTATTACATTTCTTGATAATCGTAATGCTAGACAGCTTCTCTTTACTGGATTTTGTTATGTGTTGAGACCCAGAAAAATCTTTTATGAATAAATAAAATCTTACATTTTGAGATTTTATTGTTATGATGCATGCTATCCTATGCAATTTACACTTTCAATTTCGGATTCTCAAGTGGTTTTGATTTATGATCATAATTTGTGTCTTCTTGTGTAGGTGCAATTTGAGAGGGAGGATTTCGTCTTTAAACTAATTGGGTCCTTTCATTTGATAATGAAATACCCAAAATGTGTTCAGACATAATGTTTTTGAGAGATCTAACATCAACCGGAGAAATTTCAAATATTTGAAGAAAGAGCCCAGAAGACTTATAGAAGGGCTATTTTTTAAATTTGTTTAAATGTATTGTAATTAGGCTTATTGGATGCAATAAGTAAGTGAATAAATAGTCATCAGTCTTTTTTTGTGGTGGACTCTTGGTACTGGTACTTGAAAAAGTTAGATATAAAAACATCAGCCTCACCACATGAAGCATCCACATTTTCATTTTACCAATTTGTGAACTTCCAACTTGTACAACATGTACACCTCAATCAAAATCTCAACCGAATTGGAGTAAAGCAGTCTGATGCCTGCCCACTATGTGACTACCCCTCAGAGACAGTGGAACATCATCTGTTCTTCTGTAGAAAACTAACTGATTTGAGGGGATGTTTTCTTCCCAAGCTACCCCACACATTTAACTTCCTCTACTCCTCAAAACAACAATTAGAACAGACATGCAGCTATTACAGAATGGCATCATGCAGAAGAGTTAATGCTCAGATGCTAATGGATCGCTAACAACCAATTTGTGAAATGAAGAAATGAGAGGCAAATCATGATTGCCGATATATATCTTGTTTCAGATCTGGGTTTTGGAGAAGAAAATGATTATCTTTTTCAGAGCCACGGTAATGACTTGTGGATTCATTATGACTTGTAATGTCTTTTAATTTTGCAGTATGACGTCCCGCCTTTGTCTACAAAAAGTCAGACTCTTCCTAGCTGTTTGACCAGACAACAGCCCAGAACGGTGGGACATTTTTTCACAAAATTTAGCTTGTTTTTATTGTTCCAGTGATGCACTTTTCTGTCAAATTTTAAGAAGTGACAGCTTCAGGCCCACTTCTACAGATGAATAAATATATTTAAATAATTATGATATTCTGTTTTTGGTCTTTGATGGAGAAAGTTACTTCTAATGTTATAAAGTGCTGAGCAGTAGAAAAAGCATATTTGTGAAGCTGCTTGGTGAAATCAGGCGCTCGTCAAAATAATAAAACCGAAGAAACTGATATTTTTCTGTCCGTTTGGAAATTTTAATTGAATTTTCGTTTTTTGACTCAGCACCTGTAAGGTCCATTTAAAAACACATTGCTGTGTGGATTTTACTGAAAAATGTTGATTTACAGCAGAAAAATGAAAATTTGCAGTTTCTAAGGACTCTCAAGTTTAAGAAGTCGCCTAACTTTAGCAGACATTTTCTCGCCAATTTTACCTCTAAAACCACACTTCCTTCAATCGCAAATATACCTCAACTTCTACTAAAGATAGATGTGTACTTTTTTATTGAAAGATAAACAAATGAACAAGCTTTAAGATAACTCTACATGCCCAAAAATTGACGAGCACCTGATTCCGCCGCATCATGACACATTTTATTTTATCAAATAAATGCCTTTCTGTTGTCTTTTTTAAGCACTGTCCCCAAAGTATGTTTGCAAAACTAGTATATCTGTCTTTCTCATGCTGTTTGCATGTTTTTAAAATAAGTAGTAAAGTTGAAGTTTTTTATGACATGCCAGTCTGATGTTGTTTAGAGCCTGTGACAGAGTCTATGCTATGATGAACTCGTTTGCTTCTCAACAACCTCCAAGCTCTTGAATATGAACAGTTAAACTCTCTGACTAAACGTTTTATAAAACTGAATGAGGATTCTCGTTGTCTTTTTCCTGACAGGCATCGCTGAAGAGAGCGAGTCCCCAGAGATTTGCTACAATAACCAGAGGGTAGGTCTTTTATCCTGCTTTGTGCCCTTAATCATCATTATCATCATAGGCTTTTCTCACCCACCCTGGACAGGATTATAGCTCCCAACTACTCGTCTTCGGCTACAGCAGGGCTACCCATCTTTATGAATTTGGCGGAATTGTCACCATTTTTATTCAATTTTATGAAAATATGATCATATGTTATTGTTGTTATCGATCCAGCAACAGAAAAATATGATCATAATACCCCTAATTCCGTTTTTGAAATAAATTTTGGCTATCCCTGCTCACTGCCAATTTTCCCAGTGTTTAAGGGGAGAAAAACTACCAGACCCGGACAGTCTACATCACTAGTCACGTAGAGATGGCTAACTTTTATTTTGCATCCTCTTTGCCATGAGCCCTTGTAGTCCACTTTGCCCTTAGAAAATCATTGGACTTTAGAAGTGCTTAATCCAAGAATAAGATAAACATTATGTTGACAGGGTGTTAGCAAATTCCTGTCTTTTTGTGCTGTGTGACAGCAAAAGCTAGTGAGAGATTTTAGCTGTATCCATACTTGTTTTGGTCCCTTGACCATAACTGTTATCTTTCGTCTTTTAAAAGCTTTGAATAACAAATATAATGCCTTCAGCATTTAAGGCCAGCCTGTTGTGTTAAAGTTTCGGTCATCATCATAATTATCACTGTCTCTCTCACCCTGCATTAAGGTATAGGGCATAAACAAACACTTTCCACATTTCTCTATCCTGAGCTAGACAAATTCAACATTAGTATTATGACAAAATTAGGATCCTTCAATATGGTTCTGCTCACAGCTATCATAATGCTGTTATAAAACACTCTGTGGTGCATGTCATATGGTTCATACAATTGCCAAGATCGGATTGTGCTAGGAAGTACTTAGTAACATGAGTACAGCATCTTAGCTGGCGATGCTGGATGTATGATGTACAGGAGCTGACAAAAGGGGGTTAATGATTTGATTTGAGTTGGTGGGGGCATTAAATGTTTACAAATATACTGCAACTCTAGCATTTTCCTGTAGCACCATGATAGTACTGGTATCTCTGCTTCAGGTCTTCTACTTTCTTTAGCGTTCACTGAAACCGTTTAGCAACGTCTGAAAGAGCATTAATCAGTACCATCAGACTGAGTTTCCAAAGTCACATAAATAGATCAAATGGACTAGAAAAACTGCTGCTGTGAGGACTGATAAAGGGAAAGAAAAGCAGAGGAAGACAGAGAACAACATACACTGATATGGCCTGAACAACTTTTTGACAAATAAGACAATGAGAACAACAAAGCTGATCAGGGAGACTGACAACAGGAAGGAGTGGGGTACCATGATTGTCAACGTCTGCTCCAGATCTGACACGTGAAGAAGAAAGTTCTGTTTGATGGCACTCACAAGCTTTGAATTTGAGTTTGTCTTTGATTGTTCACTCTTCTTTTGACTTGAAATTTGTTCACCTCTTGTGCGGATAACAGCTCTTGGAACCCATCTCTTCACCTTCAGGATGACTAAATCTGTTCAGTATAGTTTATTCTGTTTCACTGTTGCCCCCTTCAAAAAACAAAAAAAATGCCGTCCAACGTGTTATCTCTTTATCTCCGTGGGAGGTAAACCCACTACGCCGGGCCCCTTTTTTTGGTGCTAAACTGCTAAATCTAAATATGACAAAAACGTCACTAAATGGGTCATTAAATCAAAACAAGTTAACCTATTTTGATAGTTCATCTATTGAATGAATTCCAAATAAAAGAGACCTATTTTTGGCAATTTCTGAAAAGTAATTTGATGTTGAAGTCGCCGTAAAGGAATGTGCCTGAGCCGCTGTCAAATGCTTACGGCAAAACAGTTCCGACAGCAAAACAGTCTCTCTCTCCCCCTTCACCCCCAAACAGGTTATTAGCCTTCTTAAAATTTGTGCACTGGAAGGCCTTTCAGTTTTCTAGTGTACAGTTATGGGCATCAAATGTAATTACTCATTCTCATACTTGCTATTTTCAGGACTCCAACTAGTATGTTCTATGTGAAAGGCGATCCCAAGGTACATGCTGTTTCTTCACCCCAGTGCCCAGAGATTCCAAATACACCCACGCCTAATGCCACAAGGACTCTGCCATACAATTTTCAACCAGGTAATTGGATATATACTCACCTACATAAAAATTGTTCTTTATCATAAGAGTTTAAACCTTATAATTATTTGCAAGAATTTTAGATTGGGTAATTGTTTTTCTCACCTGACTTTTTAACCATATTGTCAAACGTCTGCTGGGACATTTCAGTGACCCATGCTTAGAACTTTTCAAGGGCCCCTGAGCAAATGTTGAGTTCCTGAATCCTGTCGGCTTCGCTGACTGTTTATGATGCCAGAGGAGAGAGAGAACCATATAGTCTCTCAACCGCACAACTTTTGCTCCGATGAATATCTGCATAGTTATAGAGCTTGTGGCTGGTCTTACTTGGGTTTTATTTTTTTAAATTTTCATTTGTATTCTTTTTTTTTTATTTCCCGGGGGGGGGTTATTCTTCATTCTTTGCTAAAAATAATCAGCAGCTGGTATTTATGCTAAAATTACTCTTCCACTAATAAAAGTTAGGAAAGGAATTTGGCATGCTGCTGTTCATGTAGGGGATGTCTGGGATTTTGGTCTAACTGTTTGTAATAAAAACCTGAAGTTGTGCAAACAAGACAGGGTTGGAAGGGGGCTACTGTTTAACAATGTCCTGAAAAGGACCTGCTTAACCTCTCTCTTTGCACATTCCTGGACTTGGAATCATCCCATGTTACAATTTCTATAGAGGAGCATTTTGTAGGTTTCTCCACGTATGTGCTATGCTGGTGTATGATTGACCTTCAAGCTCAATGTTTTTTCCCCCTTTGTTTCAGGGACAGGGGTTCAAGGATGTAACAATAAAAGCCTCTTGGAGAAGTTGCCCAATCAGTTGAACAGGTCCTCAAGTGAAAGCCCTGTGTATTCTTGTGTGAAGGATGCCATACCATACAGCACAGGGAGCCCTAAGTATGCAGAGATCACTGATGACCTGTGCCGAGATAGGACGGAGGATGATGTCTTCTGCGACTACACCACGTTGTCCCCTTTTAAGCGGATGGAGAAGCTGAGCTTTCTTTCAGAGCCTACAAAGAATCATCCTCTTAACAGACGCCGTTCGAAAAGTTTGGAGGACATTTATGCCGTACCTTCTAAGCTGAGCTCGTTTGGAGACAGACAGGCCATTCCCGAAGAGAATTCACCTGTCTGGGAGAAAACTCCTCCTGTGCCAGAAAAGAAGTATAGTCCCAGAGAGTTACTTTCTTCCTTCTTAAGCATGAGGAACCGGATGTCTCCACTTGCTCAAAACAGTCTTCCTGAACGCCCTCCGCCCAGAGTCATTACCAAACCCAGCTTTGCAGAACCGGAGAATATGGAAACCTCCCAGGATTTTATTGATTCCTTTTCTGCCAAGAAAAGCCCACAGAAGAGGAGGTCACAGGAAAGTATTGCTCAAAGTGAAGAAATGCCTACACAAGGTAAAAGATCTAAACCCAGCAATCTCTCCGCCACTCTTGCCTCATCTGGTTCTCGCAGTACTCTCTCAGTAAGCCGAACTAGTTCGGTCTCTTCCACGTCATCAGCTCAAAGTTCTGAGAACCGGCCACAAGCGAAATTGTCTATTTTAACAGGTAGCCTTAATCCTACAACAAGAAGTCGCAAGTATAAAGAACCTTCTGTTAGTCAGCTTACACAAGAAGAGAATAGACTGGAGAAAGATGATGGTCTCGATGTTATTCAAATCCAACAACTAGAAGAATCTCCGAAATTCCCACGCCGCAGACTCAAACGGAGGTCATCCGGCCTGAGCATCACACCTGGTAAAGGTCTTACGTTTGGGAGAGTTACAAAGGGATGTGCGTCGTCTCCTCGTAGAGTGTCGTTTGCTAAAGATGTCAAGGACACAGAGGGAAGACCAACTCCACGTAGATCTAATTCCAAACGAGGTTTTGGCGTGTCGAGTAATCCTCCTGTCACCAGGCAGTCTCAGGAGAGACAACAATTTGAAACTTTCATTGCAGCTCATGTCTCTCCTCCCAAAAAGTCTAACTCTCCAGTCAAGACCAACAGCCCAAATATGAGTCCCACGAAATCAGTCGCTGCTATGGTTGGGAGACTGGCACCTCACTTACAGAAGAGATTCAAAGATTCATTTAAAAAGGACCTTGAGAGTACCATCTGTACTGATAACAATAGTTTGCAATCTCAGGATAATCCTGCAAATGAAACTGTCAAGAATAAACCAGTCACTTCAATTCTTAAAACCGAAGCCTCAACACTGTGGGCTGGTCCTGACAGAATAGAGAGCGAACCACGTGGCGAGTTTGAAAAGGATATAAGTATTTCTCTCGACAAAAACTCTGCTGGTAGAATATTCCCTCCCTCTCCGCAGAGGCAAGTTGGTAGGCGTGTTTTAGGCCCTCCGACAACCTCAAGCGCCAGTCTGAATTCAAACAGCAGTCTTAATTCAAATGCCAGTTTAAAAAAAACTTCAGAAAATATTAAGGTAGACTCGGGATCAGGGCAAAAGTCTTCATTCAGATTCCCTAAGAAAGCAAATTTACCTGAGAAGACAAGCAAACCAGTTGCATCTCAATCTCAAAGTCTCAAAAAGACCCAAAGCACTAGAGCATCTGTATCATCATTACCTAAATCTGTTAACTTGTTAGTAGCAAAGTTTACTGAACGCACCGCAAATCTTTGTGCGAATGAAGTCAGTGAAAGTGATGGCTACTCCAGCAACGAAGATGTTTTGAACTCCAGACCACTGTCTGTGAAGTCTGAACTGACTGTTGAGCTGCAGAAGCAGTCTTCTGAACCAGGAAACGCGACAGATGCATCTAATAAGAACACTGTAAGCATGCTTGAATCAGAAGTTTCCACAAGTAGCAGTAAGAAGAATTTTTCTCTAGACCTATGTTCACAAGAACTTATAAATGGAAACAGTCAGGACACAATGGCTAAAGAAAGCGATAGCTGTGTGGATGACTCGTGCAGTGACAGATCTTCAAGCTTATCACAGCTTCATGAAAGTGATAGTGGCCTTGGTGGTGAGGCGTCCAATCCCAGGGTGGTGAGGAAAGGACAGCATGAATTAGAAACTGCCCTGTGTCCAGAAGAAAAACCTCTTAATGTAAAAAGAACTGTTGGCGTTGACAGAAAATTAAATGACTGGAATGAACATAATAGCGGAAAAGATGTTGGTGGGCCCGAAGCCTCACACTTATGGAAAAAGAATCCTGTCAAATGTCTGTCCAATGTTGTGCCTCAGCAGAGATCTCAGCCTTTAAGGTCAGATTCTTTCAGAACTTCTATTGCCAATGCTCAAAGGATTTTTGAATTTACAAATACAGGACAAGGTAGCTCTTGTCTAACATCTTTGATATCTCATTTAGATGAACCAGGCAAGTATCAGTCAATGGAATGTGGAAGTAGTTTTACAGAGCAAGATAATATCCATGAAAAGACAAATGCTAAAGATGAGGATGCATCTCCTCCTGAGGGCCCAGCAGCTTCAACATTACCTCATATGGATCATAGAGACTCAAAGAAAAAAGAGAATGGTCTTATGAAATCGCCATTCACAAAGAGCATTGAGACAGGTGCAAATGAAGACAAAATGTCAATGGAATTAGATATTGACAGCCCAGTGCCTGACAAAACAGATGGTGAAGAATTAGAGACAGCAGAATGTTTGAAGAGAATGGAGAGTATCAGAGCAAGTCCCAAGGTCGTGGAAAACGATGGGTGGATAACGGAGAGGAGAAGAAGTAGCAGAGGAAAGAAGTCTCAATCGTTCCGCTCTGCCCACAATAGGTTCCTGTTGCGCTCATCATCCAGAGAGGAAGCTCTGTCACCAGAGATACAACAGCCTCAAAGTGCAGAAGTCAAGGTTGGGCAAGTGGGGCAGGAGTTGTCCTCCGTGCTAAATGCTTCAGATAACAACATTGTTGCAGATATGAATATCTTATCTACTCCAAAGTCTAGTAAACCCCCTTCCATGACCCCACAGTCTAATTCATCAGAGGTGAATACAAAGCCAAGGGAATCTCCTCCAGTGACTGCTCAGTGTGCTTCCAGTGCCCAAAGTTTACGTAAGAAGGCACCGCCCATAAAGCCAAAACCTGCTGTTCTGCCCAAACCATCCAAGTTTACTAAACCAGCTAGCTATAAATTAAATGTTAACAATTTTGTTAATGCTTCAGCTTCCCAGCGACGAAAGTCAGGAGCTCGGAGGAGCTCAATGACAATGAGGCGAGAGTCTGGTGGAATGAGGCGAGAGTCTGGTGGGATGAAGGAAAACTACATCAAAAAGAATATCAGTGCAGTGAGAAGAGATTCGGGGCGGTCCAGTGGCCTATCTAATGGAACTGTGACTAAGAAAAATAGTTTAGCTCTCAAGGACAGCAGGGAGACACCTCAGAAAGACAGCCCAATCTCATCTCGGAGAGATAGCAGTAAAATCTCGGCTCAAAGAGGTGGAAAAGTCATGCCTCGGAGAGACAGCAAACCGTCAGTCGGGAGGGATTCTATTAGTACTCTGAAGAAAGACAGCCTTGGCGTGGCAAAAAGAAGAAGCAGCAGAGGAGGGAAAAATGAAGATGGCGGCCATAAGATTGCCAGTTTTGCAGAGAGGAGGAAATTTTTCCAGCAACTGCAGGAAAAGGACAAGAGTAAATCATCTAATGTAAAGCCTCTGTCTACGAGAAGCTTTAGGATAAATGGGCGTGGAGTGCAGGCCCATCAGAGTGGGCCAGCATCTGAAAGTGTGGCAGATAGTAGAGTGCTGAGGGTGAAGACGCAGGACAAAGTGAAACCTCTGACTCTCTCCCCAAGTAGTGAGATGGACATCTAAATGAAGATTTCCCCAAGAATAAGGATGTTTAGTTCTTGTTTTTTACTTTTAAAATTTTTTCATTTTAGCATCTTTTACCGAACTCTCTGAGGTCTATTTATTGTTTCTTGTAGCTCACATGAGTACAGTGATTCCGTTTTTTAAGTGGCATTCAAATAATTTTGAGCACGCTAGTGTGTCATAGTATTTTGTTTGTGAAGTTGCACATTTAAAATTTACTCTTTTATTTTGTTTTCATGATGAAATATGCCTTGAGGATTAGTTCTCAGTAAGATACTAAGAACCAATTTTGCTGTTGTTTTGAACTGGTTCAACTGGAAATTCAGACATGGCAGGAAATGCTCTTTCTAAGGCTTGGCTGCTTCACATTCTATTTGAATTTAACTCTGTCCTGCCCACGGAAAATCATTGAGTTTTATAAAATGCCAGCTATGTAAATTCACCCTACCTCAGGCCTTATTATTTCTTTTGTTATTACTTAGACTATTTATCTTTTCATATATTTCAAGCTTTTTTTTAATTGTTTAAATCAATTTTCAGTATTTGGGTTATAGTTTTAGCCATTTTGTCAGACCAAGTAGCACATATTTATATAAATGCTTTAATGTCTTAATTGTCCAAATTTCTGCTATTCACAATGACGGTTATAAATGACCCATGGTGGTTCGACATAGCATCCCTGTGTGAAATCCATGGAAGTTTTTAATGGGAAATGTATAAGTAGATTAGTTCTAAAGGTTTTGTAATCGTATTTTAATCAGCAAAAGCTTGTTTGGGATTAGTATATTTAGATTGTTTTTGTGATACTATAAAGTATTCCCTTGAACATGTATATATTTATCAGCCATTCTTAAAAGGTGGACCAGAAAGCATTCACAGATAAATCTATAGATGATGATTTTTTTTTCGGAGTGGCAAGTGGCCCGATCTGGGGTAGCTAACGTTTTGCTACTCAAATGAATTCGGTCGATTAACCTGACGCTTCTGGCCCGTGGCGATTTCTGCGCCTGTTCCGGGCGAATGAATTCGGTTGATTAGGCAAGCCTGCGGCTTCTGGCTCGTGCGGATTTCTGCGTATGTTCCGTTAAATCGCGTGATCAATCGCACAAGATTCACAGTCACTGCTTGTCCTCCAAGTCAAGAGTCGGATCGGTAAAACATGGCAGCTGAATTATATGTCGCAAAGACTTTCCAAAGTTTTAGAGAACTAAGAAACAATTTCTAAATTTTGCCACTTTTCACATGAACGCATTTGTAAACAACAGGGATCAGTAATTCTAATAACAAACACCCCCCCCCTTCTCTCGTTTCCCTAGGTCTTCCTTTCCCCCCCCTTCTCTCTTTCTCGCTTTCTTTTTCTCACTCTCTCTCTTTCTTTCTCTCCCCCCTCTCTTTCTCTATCTGCCCGCAGACAAAATTTTTTGCTTTCACCTCAGCGCTGGAACGTTTGTTTACACTCATCATGGGCCGTCACGCGCTAAAACGAGGTAGATCTAGCATCCACGTGTCGTTCGGACGCGAGATAGGGCAATTGATACATCTTAGTAGTAGTTAGACAATCTTTGATAACATCACGACGTTGCATTTCTATTGTTAGTAACTTTGTCACCGGCATTTTGATGGATGATAATAATTAAATAATAAAGAGTGATAGATCTAGGGGATCTAGTCAACTCGTGAGGGAAACCTCGGAAGACGACAAAATTAGATGTCGGAAAAACATATTCTATGATCTGTTTTGGGCCAATCACAGAAGTGTGCTGGGTGGTCTCAATAGCTTCATGTGGCCGTGTTTACGCTGCCTAAGACTAAGACTAGATCTAGGTGACCCGCTCCGGGTGGGCAGAAAAATGCTAGCCACCTGAGGTCGCAGATATCCCCATGGGCCAGTAGCGTCAGGCTAATCGACCGAAATCGGTCGAGTAGCAAAACGCTAGCCACCCCAGATCGGGCGACTTGCACAGGTCTTTTTTTTTCTTCTTAGTTTGCAATCTAGAAGATCGACACTTGTTCAGGAAAGTTGAGTTATTTTTAAAACATCACAATAATTCCCATGTGTGCAACTGTCATGCTTGTGTAACGGTATGGCATACAGATTACAAGAATGCATTTTCCTTCATTTTTTTTTCTTGGCAGTGCTAGCAAACATTATTCATGTTAAAGTACCGATACAGTCGCATTGAAACAGTGAAAGTTTTTCTTTCTAGTGTTCAACTTGAGGATTATTCTGATCTCTCATCCAAATCTGCCTCCCAGGATAGCATAAGGTGGTATCCTTGTTCATACAATAGCCCCTGGGTTTAAAAAGGGGACACGTTTCAAAATTCCAACTGGAAAGTTTTCTTGTTGCCACTGACACTTTTTGGTCTTTTAATTTAATTACGTGCCCTGTGAGTGTCTTGGTATTGATGACTAAACTTAATGATTGTAAAAGACACCCTGTTTATAATCAGACGAAAACAAACACATTTTAAAAGAAAATCATTAAAATTTACATAGCAAAGTTTTGAACTATAATAATAATAATAATAATAATGAAGATCATTTCTATAGCGCCCACTCCCGTGTAAACACAGCTCTAGGCGCTTTACATAAAGGCATGTACGAACAATATTCACGCTCGTGACGCACACACATACTCATACACACACATACTCATACACACACACATACACACACGCACGCACAAACACACACACACACACATACACATCTACTTGCTTATCACACGTGCACGCTTACACATCGTCACGAAATGAGCACATATATAATAAAATAATATACACAATGCAATTCACAAAATATGTAAATGGATCCATAGTCTTTACATAACAATGTACTGAACATGAATCTACTGACTTAGAAATGATGTCATTAAATGGGTCTTTAAAAAAAAATTTTTATTTAGATTCAGATGTTGTATGTCTCAAGGGTTGGTCTTTCAATCGAAAAAGCATTTCATTTCTTAATTGAAATGCTTTATTTTCATATTAAGTTTCCATTTATTTTGTTCATCTTAATAGAAGAAATTTGTCATTCCAGTTACATTCTCACTGTTTGAGAGTGGCTCAATAAGGCTTTTTTGTTTGTGAATAAGAATAAGCTGCATGTTTTTATATTTTTGTAAAGCATGGAATAAGTTTTTTGTTTTATTTTTTAAATTTTGGTGGGGGTTTTTCATTCCAGTCCCTGCTCACGGCTGACTTTTATTAGTGCAAATTAGATTTGTTTTATTGTGCGCTGGCCACATTTTACCAGTCATTGTCCTCAAATTCCTTTGAAATGTCATTCCTTACAATTTTTTAAGCTCACAAGTTCCTCAATAAGTAATCTATAGTGCATTATATATTTTTATCTTTTTAATTTTATGTTATGGCAGCACAAGGGGGGAGTGTACCTATATGTATTATATATGTTTCTATATCTGTGTGTGTGTGTGTGTTTGTATGATATGCATGTTGTGTGTGTGTATGATATGCATGTTGTGTATGCTTATGCAATGCTATGTTCCCTAAGGGGGCTCTCGTGGCCTAGAGGTTGGCCTCTCATTCAAAGGTCCCGGGTTCGATTCCGGGTAGCGACCAAAAAATTTTCTTCTCTAAAATTGTCTCCTTTCACATCCTTTCCTGATCTCTAACAATGTTCTGTTGTCTGCTTTCATTTCCACTTTCTGCCCCCACCCCCTCACCTCCTTTGCCCCCTCCTCTGGGCTCCTGACTCTTTCTGCAGCCTTTCTACTGCTACTTCTTGGCTCCTCCTAACTGCTGTCTTTCTGCCACACCCCTGATCTTCTGGTAGGAAAGATCTACACCTAGCCTTCTCGGACAAGGGCGAAAAATCTCGGAGGGCCCGTGTGCAAGTTGCGCATGTTAAAGATCCCTTGGTGGTCTAAAATCGATAAGAGTAGGCTTCGGCCGTCACCTGGGCAAAATTCAAAATTTCCTACCACCGAAAAAGTATTAGATGTGTCCCGCGCGCTCATATGACCTTATGCAGTTGCGAGCGCCATAAAACCCTATACTAAACAAAACAAACAATATGTTCCCTAAAAGTGAAAGTTCCTTCATAACTATACCCCTTTAGAATGTTGAAGTTAGTTTGCCTTGCCATTTTGACATAAGATGATATTACTTGATGCTTGATGTAACACATCTGACTTCTGTGCCATATGTGTAAACAGTTTGGGTGTGTTGTACTCTTATGATATTTTATGTGTCTCTCTGGTTTGAAGAATTGCATTTAGTCTTACACACCTATTAAAATTAATCTCTTAATGGGATGTCCTTTTTCTGGTCTCTGTCTATTTCTGTCTGTCATTTTGTCTTGCTTTTCTTTATCATTAAAATATACTCTGTGAACATAATTATATGAATTACTATGCGGATGTAATTCTGTTCACAACCTATTTCGAATAATCTACTACCTAGGGGCTCTTACTGAAGAGCACCTTGCCAACTATTCTTTTTTTCTTTTTTTTTCAATTTGGCATCTATAATCACCAGTTTTGGAGGTTCACCTTTTTATCACCGATATTGTTCATTTGCCAATACTAGCCAAGACTGTTACTTGATAGTAGTGCAGAAAAATGTGGAGATTCTGGGGTTGTTGTTTTTTTTACCATCGGGCCTGTATGACATGTTTGAATTTAAATCAATTTACAAATGACAACCATTTCGCGGAAGTCGCCAAAGGCACTGTTCAAAGGCTTGAGCTTTTCCCATTAAAATGTAGCAAATATCAGTACATATTGGTTATCTGAAAAATTGTCTGTGAAAGTTAGGGAATGTCTGTTGCCTTATTGGGTAAAAGCAATTTTTGAGGAAAATGTTTTTGCCCCTGTACATACTTTGGTGAATAAACAGCATTTTTATAGTATTAATAGGGCAGCACTGTACATATGAATAATCAAACTAATCTTTGCTTTGTACGTAACATAGTAATCTATTTATTGGAAATAGCTTGACGTATACCCTGTCGCAAATTATGTTTAGTAGATCCTGTTAATAAATGCATTCTTACTTTCTTTCGCCATATGTTCATGATTCATACCCATTTTTAAACCTACACCTCCCCCCCCCTCCCCCCCCCCCCCCCACCAAACCCCCGGGGCAGTGCCACTGACTGAATTGTCTTTAGGCCATTCCCAAAGGGGGGACATTTCTCGTTCATGCATAGTAGAATTGTAAATGGGCTGATTCATCAATGTCATGCTCATAACTGCCTGATCTACAACAGGGAGCTGCTGCTTTTTCTTTCCTAATCCTTACTATTGTCATTTTTTCTCTACTTCTTTTGTATGTTTGTCACACTCTTGTGACCCACTATTTACGGGGTGCCTTGATAGTCGAAGCAGACTTTGTGCTGTTGAAGCTAGAGAGGTGAACAGAGTAAGTCTGATTCCCTGTAAGGACTTCTCTGTTGACATCCACCCTTGGTACTCATATGACCTTATGCAGTTGGGAGCGCCGTAAATCCTCTACTAAAACTAAACTAAAAACCTACACCTTGGTGCAATTTCAATGTGTCCTTGATTAACTTTAGAAACAAATGGGAATCACCTTTTGTTTTTCTTGCAGCATGTCTATTATGTAAATACATACATTGTATGTTTTATCTTCTGACTCACTTGTTCTGTACACTTTGTGTTTCCATTTGTATCTCTTCCCTTCTATCATCTGTTATTGCTGAGCCTTATCAACAGCTCAAGATGCAGGCAGCCCAAGGTCCATAGAGCATGGATATATGCACTATATAAATAAATGTATTATTATTGTTATTATTACTAATAATCTTGTTATTGCTTTCTACAAATTATATGCACCATCGTCGGTAGAAGCATCTATTTCATGCTGTAAGCACAGGCCGATTGTTGGAGAGTACCTCTAATATCATTAGCTTCTTTCTTACTTCTCTACTCTCCCTCTTTTTTTTCTGTCTATCTTACTTTTTCCCAGATTTAAATGATCATTATTGTGTCAGTGTGCTTCTCTTTACTAAAAAAAACCTCACTCATTCGTTACTTCCTGTCTGTCTTGCTTTTCCCCAACACGAAAGACCGTTAATTTTGATTATTGTATGAACGCGTTTCTCTGAGCCTATACTAAACTAATGGTTGAAGCCTTTTTACTTTTTAGCACTGTCCAGTGAGCCTTACATGACTTTCTTTTCTCTTTTTTTTTTCGTGGAACTGCAAGTGGTTGGAAGGCGATTTTTGTTGGTCCTACTTTTTTTTCCTCTGTCGTTTCTGTCTATCCATCTTTTTTGTCCCCTTTCTATGATTGAATGAGTCTATTTTGTCAATCTGCTTCTGTCTACTCAAACTTTGTCATGACATGGCTATTTATTTTAATAAATATTTGTATCACTGCACGGACTGATGCTGTCTTGTACCTGCCTTAAGCACGCAGCTGTTGGGTATTTTCACACAGGGTGTTACCCCAACAGTCAAGAACAATAAATACATTTTTATCCACATCTGCACTGGGTTTTGTCACTGTTTTCATAATGAGCAAGCTGTCTACATCATTCTGTGATATGATCATAATGATGGTGAATGCTAAGTTGTCAGATGTGCCTTTTACTTATTTTTCTTTTAAAATGAATGTAATTATGTTATTATCTTAATTAATCTGTTTACAGCAAACTACACCGGTCATCGTGCCGATTTCTAGTGTACTACAGTAACCTGTAGTTTCTGACTCTTTCCTATACTGTATCCTATTGGCTTCTTTGGTATAGTGCTAAGGCCCCTTGCCATCACATGCAGAAGATGTGAGTTTGATTCCTGTGTGGAAATGATTTTTATCAAATATGTCTGCTGGGATGTTGTATTCATCTAAGCTCGGGTTGGCCTTGATAGGCAGGGTCAAAGCTGCCTACTTTCTAAATGGTTTTAACTGTTGATGGGGGAGTAAAATAACAAGAGGCACATTCTATGTTACAGTACAGTACTTCCCGAAGTATGATATATAATATAAAGTCGCGTGTCTAGTAAGATGATGCTCTATGTTTATCTATTTTATATATTACATTTGTGAAAGTCCATTTAACTTTCGAATTTGAAAAAAAGTAACGGTGATTCAGAATCATTCGAAGGAATATCAAGGAGTCTGAAGTCACTGTAGATCTAGTTTAACTTTCAATTTTTCATTAGTTTCGTTTAGATTTAATCTTGGGAATGTCCGTCTTCTAAGACAAGTGAGGCTTCCATTCACTAGCAGTGCGCACTGATTCCACAACTTTGAAATTCTGGAATGTTCAGCTACGAAAGTGCAATATAGGATTAATCTATACCTCTTTCAATTGATCATTAATTTTTCTCTTGCATAAAAATGACTTCACGATCAATTCTTTTGATTTCGTTCCTCGAACGGGTACCCAGCTAGTTATTAAACTGTCCTCAGAGAAAGTTGCATTTGAAAATAGAAAAAGTTGCAAAAAGTTGCAATAAAAATTAGCAAAAGTTGCAAGAAAAGTTGCAAGATGTGTATAGCTAAAACAATGCCAAGGAACTATTAATTAAAAATTTTTAATTGGCTCCCTCCCTCCCTCCCTCTCTCTCCCTCTCCTCTCTCTCTCTCTCTCACACATGCTGTGTGCACACACACACATCTATACTCTTTCCCTGAGATGATGGAACAGTTCCACACATTTTCAAGTGATGTGTTTCAGCCTTCTTGGAAACTGTAAGTGGTGCCCATTGTCAGGATCGGTTCTGTTTGGTTGTAGGGACTAGCCTGATTTTTCTCCTTGGAGTAGGGGCAAAAGCTACCATCAAGACATAAACCAAACAAAACCAATGGTGACCTTCAAAAACAAATGTGTTTGTTTTAAGGCCGCAAGTCGGGAGATCAGTTTGAGGCAGGGATCTATTAATAGTATTCTAGTGTGCACTGAAGCCGCCAGAAACTAAACCAAACCGATACTTCAGTGAGCACTGCCTATTATATTAAAATGCTCCTAACTTACAGAAGATGTGCCGGGAATACAACTCTTACTCTAAGAACTAGAAAGCTTTATTTTAAAATCGTAGATATTACCTGTTGATCACTTCACTGTCAAACTTGGCAAGCCTGCCAACGGTTAGTGTGTTCTGACAGTTTAACATTAATTTATTAAAGGGCCTTTGCAAAGCCTGTTTTAGTAATAATAATAATAATACATGTTGGCTATTTCATCTTCTTAGTATACATCACGTCCATACCATCATGTGGGGTTTTAAGAAATTGGAAAAACTTGGAAGATGTGTTTTTGGAGTATACTCAGGACTTTGTCAATAAAGTTTGGTGGCTGCCATTATAGACTTACTTATGTCTATTGTCTAGCTTCTCTCCCCTCCCCCACCCCCTAATTAATGCGCTTTGCTCAACTGCCTGCATTATTCACGTTGACGTGTCCCCTTCCATTTATACCAGATTTTGTGGTGTAACGATTAGGCACTTGATTGATGATGCGAATTTGATTCTCGAGAAGGGAGGTTTCTTTATCGAGTCCATTGGTCTGTCCTCTGGGACGTATTCATCTAAGACCGGGTTGGCCCTGATAGGCATGGTCGAAGCATCCCGCCTCCCAAATGATCTAACTATTCTAATCAGTATCCAGGAGGCGAGGGGGCGTAAACACCTGTAATTACATTTTTAGAATCTGTAATTCGTTTCCGTGGTCGCAACTAATGCGCCAAGAATAAAATAGTCCGATGTCTGAAGTGTAATTAACAGGCCTATTTGTAGGCTCTTTGTTGCCTTAAATGCAAAAGACACGCATGGTCATATGCACAATATTTGTTTTTTATTCTCTCTTTTACATATATGAACAAATAAGTCTCTCCCTCTCAAATTTATATACTCACACATGCACGCACACACACACCACACACACACACACACACATGCTACATATATGTGAATGCTTTATTTACCATAAAACCATAAACATATAACAATTAGTAAAGGTAAAATAATATCTTAAGTAAATATAAATATATACAAACTGCATAACTTTGGAAATACTGCATGGAGATTGTTGTTCACATCTGCTGATGATATGTGATGCATCATAGTGAAACTAGGCGATCATCAAAATGGAATCAAAGAAATCAGCATTTTTCTGCCATTTGTGCAATTGCCATCGAATATTTATTTTTTGACTCAACACCTTTTATGTCCATTTAAAAACACATTTGTGGATTTTACTGAAAAACGTTGGACCAAGAACTGCAAAATACTGCTCATGTGGCTCGGTATCTATTCCAATCCAGTAATGAAAAGACATGAAATTCTCAGCCGATCCACGTTTTCGAAATAATAGAATAGACTTCCTGTAAGCGGATATAAAGAAAATATATTAGCATTGTAAGACGATTTTCTGTGATTTGAGCACTTTTTTCTGTCCCCTTCGAAACGAAAAAATGAAAAGAAAAGTGCTCCCCTGACTTCAGTGTATGTCTCATATTTTCACTTCTATAATAATCTGTCCCCGTTGTTTTACGCTAGAAAAATTCTGAAATTATGCAAAATGAGCTCAAAAATGTGAAATTATGCGATTCTGTTAATTTTAACAAAGAATTAAAAAGGAAAATAATCAGAAATTATGCAAAAAATGATCAAATTTTGCTGAATCTAAATTATGCGGGGTGCATAAACCCACGGGGACAGAATAATATAAAGGTACACATATATCTGTCAGCATTTCTTTGCATTACTTGAGGCATCCTACCTGTGACGTTTGAATGATGCTGTTGTAGTCCTTTTTTTTTTATATGACCTTTCAAAGCTGGAAAATTGTTGATTTTATATGACACCTTCGATATTGCATTATAATCACTTTTAGAAATCCCAAACTAATATAATTGAAATAAAACTTTAATATTGTATCACCATTCTGATAGATTATTTTGTAACATTCAGTTTGATGGGCCATACAATGGTTTGTGTGTGTGTGTAGTTGGATGTTTTGACATTTTTCCTTTGGTGGGGAGAGGCGTAAAAATAGGTGAGGGAAAAGCCGCGGGCCACTGGTGGATTTTGGCCAGGTAGGAAAAGAGTTAAGGGGTACAAAAAATGTAAATTTTCAGTTTCTAAGGACTATGGAAATCACCAAACTTTGGCAGCCATTTTCTCGCTAATTTTACCTCTGAAACCAGGCAACCTCACCATCTTCAATCGCAAATATCTCAATTTCTGTTCAAGAAAAATGGGTGTTTTTAAACTCAAAAGCAAGGCCAGTGAATAATGTTTAAGATTATACCAATAACTCCATATGCCCAAAAACTGACAAAGACAATTTCAATGAATATGCACTATAAACGTAGGGAAGAGATAGCCTAAGAGGAAACTTGGTCATTGTCATAGAGACAACGGACCAGCCGTGTGGCTTTCCAAGCGACCACCCCCGACTGTAAATTCATGCAGAATCATTCTCGAGAAACATTTTCTCTTATGATACGTTGAACAAGTATGTTATAAGTTTTTCGAGCGCAGCTGATTAGGCTTACTTGGCTTTATGTCTTTAATCCTATAGAGGCCTGTCTATCTAGTGTTTTACGGCATATACGCATGTCGCATCAGGCCTAGATCTAACTAAACATTACACGCAGTCACTCAAACTCGAACACCAGTCAGAAAGCTTCTCTCAAAGATACATTTCTAGGGACCAATAAAGAAACATTTAAGTCCCCCCAACATTCCAACTTTTAACCGACCAGCCCTAGACCGAGACCTAGATCTATGCATCAGTGGACTGTAGGGTGTGCAGTAAACGCTGTCCATCACTCTCTTTGTACGGCGTGAGGGGCACTTCAAACTCAAACTCCGTCATAAAATCCTATGGGTGCACCATTGTTGTGATCAAGAAACACGGTACAAGTAATTTGAACCATCAATCAAAAGCTGTGATTTCCTCTTCATCTGGCCAAAAACAAGCCAGCATTTTCTCTGATTCACTCTTCATCTTGGGAAAACATGCCAGCATTTGTAATACCATCGTAAAGAGTCTTGAGTCCATCGGTTTTCACCTGGCTCTCCGCACCCTCCACCTCCTCCAGGAAAGAAGCCGTTGTCACAGCTGACATTTGGGCGAAAAGGTCATCCAGCCTGGTCAGGTCAGGTCGTGACCCCTCTAGTCTGAGCTGTTTGGGGGAGAAGCCTTCAGCCTCCAAACTTTTTATCATCTGACCTTGAGCGTGCTGGCTCCGTAGAAACGAGACAAACACAAGATACGCTGGGTGCACTTCCTCGCAATACTTCTTGTACAGTTGCGTAAATCTGAAAGAAGTAGAACACACGCAATATTTCTTACACATTGATCAAAATTCACACAAAAAGGAGAATTACGCAGTATTTAAGAACATTTTTGAATTGAGGAGAAACCAACAAAACGATACAGAATTTGAGTCTTAAACATTATAAGTTTGAGATTGTTAAATTAACATTAATAATATTAATATGAACACAACAAGGAAGGAAATCAGATTCAATAGCTTCAGTCTTCAGTTATGATGGGCAGTAACATGCATGAAAAAAATACTAAAGACACTTCTAATCTAACCATCCCTTCGATGCATTGATTTTTGGAAACAATTATCTAAGCTACCTTATCGTAAGCAAAATTCTTGATACCAGTATCTGTGTCGAAACAGTTAGGCTCTTCACCAGAGCACATCAAAGGCATTCGATTCTTAAGTAAAAAAGTCTTTCTATCAAGTGTCTCCATCTAGTATTTGAATCTGTCTGCTGAAATGCTGTACACTACTCAAATCTGACAAATGAATCCCCAATGATCTAAACTGGGTCAATGGGGGTGCAGAATACTTCAAATAAACAATGATAATTCTTTGTCAATCTTATACAAGCATTTAGATGGACTGGGACAAAAGAGTGAGGCTGATGACTTAACTCAACTGTCCCTCACTCAAATCAAATTCAAGCACATTTTAAGATGTCTCTAGGCAAACGTTCTCTTGGCGGACAGAAAAAAAGCTTCAAAGATGCTCTGACTGAAAGCATGCCTGAAGAGTTGTGACATTCCCCATACCACCTGAGAAGAAGCTGCTCGTGATTGCACAGTTTCAATGCTCTTTAATAAGATCTGGAGTCGCCAAGTTCGAAGAAAGACGCATCAGAAACAAAGAAAAAAATGGTGAAAATGGTATGGGATTAACAGTTTATTTAAGGGGCAGGACCTCCTAGTTTAACGTCCGTCTCCGATAGGACAGAGCCAAATGGGAAGTTCGTGTAAAGTGCCTTTCTCAAGGACACAACGTCGGACCGAGCTGAGGCTCGAATCCCCAAACCCGTAATCTCACGATTACGAGTCTGGTAGCCTAACCACTAGGCCACCAACGCCACCAGAAACAAAGAATGGAGACGGTAGTTGAGAAAAGACCGAGAGAGCCCTACCTCACAGTCTAGTTCAACCCCAAACATCCCCTGCCCCCACCGCAACAGATATTTCCGGGCTAAGATAGGCCTGATCAGCTATCTCTGCACACATCCCAACCCTCTAGTGATATGAAGTCAAGGTTATCTTCGCCAGCAAAAGACGAATATCAGCGTTATACACTGTGGCTATAATTATCTACACAAAAACCACATGTTTGCTGTAATGAACCCTCAGATTCAAAAAAATTGAAGGTCAGGCTCGGCGACTTCGTTGAATCCGCTTTACACTGTATAACACTTTCCTAAACAATGTACTGTGACGTAATTCTGACTCTTTGTTTTATTCAATTTGAAGCCGAATGAACGGCAAGGAGGTGTTGCGTGGGCTTGGCCCTAGCAAGACTTGTGTTCTACCCTTCTTTTGAATTCTGAGTCTGTGCTTGAGCTTCACGTAATTTTCTTACAAAAATAAAAAGAAGAAGAAACAACGGGACCGCTGGCACAGTTGGAAGGATGCGTGATTTCGAGTAATCTGTGTTCGACATATCCAGGTTATACTGTATTATCCTATCTCTCTTCCCTCTTTGCTTTGTATGTGTGTTACTCTCTGGTAAAACCTCAAATCTTCATCACTTTTATGACCATGTGCTACAAGCACTGTATAAAAAACTCTTGCTAAAACTCAAAAAGCAAAGTCTAGGGTATTATACTTCAATCAAGTCTAGGGTTGCAGCACAATTTTGCAATCTGAAGCAAACTTACAAAAAGCCATGAGAATTTGTGTTCTCCTCCTCGTCAGTGACCATGATAAACGTGTTCACTTTCTTTTTGGCCTCGTAGTATGGGTAAAGAGAGGCAGCTGGGGATGTTGACCCACAAGCTTTCATGGTCACAGCAAGCCGGAGCATCTTGAGGAAAAAAAACAATAAATGCAAAAGTTAAAGAATAATAACTGTGAAGTCTTTTTTTAAAAAACTTTATTTGTAGTTTAAAAGCACTTGCAACGTATCCTATAGGCCAACTTCTTTACCTGAGATAGTAAATGATGGAATATTTTTAGGCCTTCCTCAACGCAATTTAAGAGGAAGGCTGCTTCATCTTATCTGTCAAGGCTATAGTGGCGGTGGGTGGACCAAAATTTGGGTGGGGCTTAGGTTGCTTCCAGTTCTTTACCACCAAATAGCAAGCAATAAGAACGAAACAGTGATGATTTTTCTATACTCACGGTGAGCTACGGCATTTTGAGAACCATTCAAACGAGAAGAGTTACCTTAGTTTTCAATCTCTTTGTTCTTATTAAATTTTTGTTGAAGGTGGGGATGAAGCCGAGTCACCACCAAATTTCCTCTCTAATTAATTTTCATGTGATGAAAAAGTTGCCTTAAAAGTAGTTCGGCATGATTTATAACGGTTAAATCTGAGTGGGACAAACACAAACATGCACACACAGCACTTCAAACATTACTTCTATGGGCTGGATTAGGCTGTGTAGCTGTAAACTTTCACCTCTTTGTCAGGGCTAGGAGAGCATGAGCCCTCAGTACAGTGTTCTTTTTGCAGGTCTTTTACCTTTTTTACAAGAATACTTTCATTAAGGATGGGCCGCGGGAAAGGGCATATTGTCGAGTAGATATAAAACCATGCTTGAATTTTGAAACTTGAGAAAACGCAGCACAGGTAATATCAATGCATAGATTATTTAGGACCTGGACTTTCAACTCTGCCTTTTCGGGCCAACCTGGCCTGAAAAGGATACAACATCCCAGCAGAAAGATTGAGATACTCAATAAAAATTTGTCGTTCCACTCGGGAGTAGAACTCAGGTCTCCTGTGAGCCACACTAAAATGCCTAACCGCTACACCACAAACACAGGCACTTCAAGGGTTGAAAAGGAATGTTTCAAATTCACGTGCTTCCAGTTAGAATTACCATAAAGAAGGTACAAGTTTATTAGCATAATTTTTAGAAATACCTCTCCAACAGTCTTGGGGACAAACGGTGCCTCTATGTTCTCTGAATTGAAAAAGACGAGCTCTGCCGAGCAGATAGATGTGAGGAGGCTGGCAATGATTGTGCTGGTGCGAATGGCAACGCACATCGAGGAAGAGGCATCTCCAATCACTACGACCGGAGACTCTAAGGACAGCCTGCGGAGATAAAATACAGTCGACTACAAATGAGTTGATGTCAAAGAGGGAGTGAAAAAAAAGATAAACTCATCAAAATATCAACTTAACCGTTGGAAACTGTAAAGAAGAAGAGATGCCAGGACCTGACAAAAAGACCAGCTTAACCTAAGATCAACTCAAGCGAGCTCAACACAAGCAGAGTCGACTGTAACAGAATACAGAATCGCAGAGTTGCACTGGCTCAGACTCAGATGTTGAAGATGTTATATAATATGTTCTAAACTTTAATCTGGCCTATTGAAAATATTTCATCATGTGAAAAAGCACTACAGATTTAAATGATTAGCAACAAAAGCCAGCCCGCAGTACTTTTACACAATTTACGATACATGCTGACTCTTCATTTATACCCAGGCCCTACAGATCAACCTCAGCGATATAATGGTTTTAGAAAATAAAGAGAGACAACTCTTTTTCTCCCAGTTCCACTAATAGAGCAAATCACCAGACCAGACCAGACCATCAATGATTTATTTACAGAGGCACCAGCCATCCATGTCCAGGTGCTGTTTTAGCCTCTTTTTCCTGTATTCGGATTAATAATATCTTTTTGCCAATTTATTGGTTCCGCTTCTATGTTACCCCATAGCAAATCACCATTAGAAAAAAAAAAGTATTAATTTAGATGTTTTTACACCCCCATCGACACAATTTGGATCATTTAGGAGGTGGGCCTCCGACTCTGCCTGTCATGGTGAACTCAGGCTGAGAGGGATACAACATCCCAGCAGAAAGACCGAGATACTGGCAAAAATTTCCTTCCACTTGTGAATCAAACTCAAGTCTCGTGCATGTGACAGCAAAGCACTTAACCACTAGACTGCAGATGCTGGTATAGCACCATTGAATGATACATGTGTATTTACTTCATCTGACACATGGAACTGGGTAGTCAGAACAGATTTATAAAGGATGGTATAAGTGAGCTGGGTACTATTAATATTATGCTTTGAATCAACTGTGAAAGTGGAAGACCACGATATCTGTCGTCTCAAACACACCATTTTAGGATTGGAGTTGACTGAGAATTTTTCAGGACTTTCGACTTACTTAACTTTGGTCCGATGGAAAAGGTCCTATGGAAAAGTAAGAAAGATGTTCCATCTCTAGATTATTTCAACTATTTGTATAAAGGAGTAATATCCATTATATTATAACAGTTACTTTCAGTGTTCTATACAAATTTACCAATATCTCCCTTTCTACTTGCACAGGCTTATGAAATTTTGAAAGGAAAGTTAAACAGTAACATAAGCCTTGCTAAGATTCAAATGAAACGGGCTTCTCCCTATCAGAGATATAGTGCACTGGATTAAAAAGTGTTCCAGTGTTGAAAAGGTATTACACTAATGGCATACAGTCAAACCAGCTCTGACGATCACCTGTATAATTAAGACAACCACCGGTGCAAATTGCCGCTTGCCATTTCATCTGTTGCATTTTATTTTCGTCATCATAATAATGCTGTGTAAGACGTTCACCTGTATGCGGCAACCACTTTTTTCCTCGACAATGTGCAGCTGTCTTGGACATTTTTTAATGTATACCATACATGGAGGAGGTGATGGGCCCATATGTACCTCAGAGTTACCTCACTCTATAATTCGGTACAACTGCAACAAAATTCCCAAATAACACAAATCACAGACTTAGTATAAAAAATCTCCAATCAAGTGACCAAACCCGAGCTGCCACTACAAGAGGCTAAAGCTGTTTCCCAAAATGACAAGCGACTAACGCTCCCAGCAGCTGGTGCGATGCACATAGGCATACACAGGTCTCTCATCTAAAGAGCTATGAATGAAAACAAAACTTTATAAAAAACTTCTCTGGGGGAAGCTACACTCCTTTGTCTTTATGTTAAAGCCTGTTCTTTGTCTTAAGTCAAAGCACATGTTGTGAAAGTAGTCGAATTGAATTGTTACAAAAAATTAATTCCATCGAACCATGGAAGTAAGATTCTGGTGTTGATGAAATAAGCTTACCTGATGGATGTTAGTCGAGGTTCTGCTAATTCTATCAACAAACTGAAGAAATTATCTTCTCCCTCCGGCTCTCCCTGGTATTGACTATTTCCGTAAGTTTGGTTGAGCTCTGGCCGTCTCAGCAGGAGAATGGTCATGAGTCGCTCTAACAGTTTCCCATTGGGCAAGTTGACAGGATCCTTTGCCCGCAGTCTCTTCAGTAACACTGCATCTACTTGAGGGCAGCACAAATCTTCATAATACCTGTTGAAAGTTTAAGCAAGAGTTCCACAGCATTTTTTTTTCACCTGTTTTAAGTTCAGTAAGAGCTTTATGGCACTTGCAATTCCAAAACAAATAGGTTATCAGTTATATGTTTTAGTAAAAAGTGTACTTTACTTTACCTGCAGCACAAACAGGTCATATAAGTGCTCCAGATTAGAGGTCTTACTAGAGAGCAACATACAAGGAAAAGATGAAGGAGAGAGAAGTATGATAGAATTTTGATGGAAAGAAAGGCGTGGGGGTGGGGCTGGAAAGGGGTAGTGCCAAGATATCTGGAAGGGTCTAGCTCACTCCCAATAAAGGTACTATACAAGGGTCTTCAATCTTTGATTTTCTTTTACATTAGGACATGTGTGAGCCAATACAAATAGAACGGCACAACCAAAACATGCACACATTTAAGTTAGTCAGGCAAAAGCCAAACTAGGTGCAGAAGTGCACTTGGATGTGCAAGCGTGAAGCCTTGATAGAGGGCAGTGTAAAAAATAATATACTTTTCAGTTAGAATTGAATGAAAAGAATGACAGAATTGAATTTTAAACATAGGTCTATAAGTAATGCTTTCATTGGCTCATCTATTTTTGTATAGAACACTCGTCTGTTCTTTGTTGTAAACTAAACAAGAACCAGTTTATTGAAGGCAAACGTTTTACTCACTTGTTTTATAGTGAAACGACAACATAGTCAAGGTGTTTAGCCTATCTTGGCTGCTTGTGAGCTGTGTGTATGTGATAACCAACCAATGGTAGAAGCCAACTTTTCCCCCTTTTTTATTAAGCTATCTTGTACCTCTTTCAAATAATAAAAATCATACTGTCAAAATATAAAACGTGCCTTCCTCTCTGTGTGATCTCTCTCTCTTTCTCTCTCTCTCTCTCCCTCTCCCTCTCCCTCTCCCTCTCCCTCTCTCTCTCTCTCTCTCTCAAACACACACACACACACATACTGTCTTAAGGTTGCACTTGGAAATATTTCTACTTTACTTTTTCCAGACTTTGTTACCTTGTGGTGTCCTAGGGAAGAAGCAAACATCTTTCTCTTGTTTGTTGTACCACCTGTTGCATTATTATGTAGTTCTCAACTAATGCTTCTCTGACTCTCCTCTACCCATCTTTTTCCGTGCCTGGCAGGAAATATTCACTCACCATAAAACAGTGTCAAGCTTCTCCATCTCAGCAATCCTCTCTTTTGACTCCGGAGTCAGATGTTGTTTGTACTGTTTCACAACACTGTAAGGAATCTCACATTCCCCGACCAGACTGTTAACATTTTCTGAGGTCACGTTCTGGCACAGGGCCGGAGAAGAACCATCTGGAGGAGATGCTGTGCCGAAACAGTGGGGAAGAAACCAAGAAGCAGACGGGAAATCCTACAGAGAAGGGATGAAAAAAATAATGTCCATTTAAGATTTTTTTAACACTAAAAAAAAGATCCAAATAAAAAAACTGTTGGTTTGAAGTAACACACTACTACTAACAATGGATATATATTTTCTCGGCAAACTAGAAAATTTGTCTGTTAAACCTTTGAGCGTCGCTAACAAATAGTCTATAGTGGAAGGCATTATATTAATTAATAAATTAATAAATTAATAAATTAATAAATTATATGATTTCACCATGATATTACGTTTTTAAAAGCTTGAGAACAGGCTAACCAAGCAAGAACATTTTCAGACAGTAGAATGTAAATAGGAAGTAGAGCTCATTTCTAAAGAGTAGAAATGTTTGCCAATACAGCAGTCTCCACCTAAGATCCCACCACTTACGATCCCGGTTCGCTTATGATCCCGCTGTTTTAAGAAAACAGATTTTTTTTCTGTACAAAAGTCACACCTAAGATGCCGCTCTGATTCACTCTGAAGGTCTACAAAAAATTATTAGGCTAAGATCGAGCATTTTTTATCATAATTTACAGAACAAACACCCAGGCCGGCACAGCCAATCAACCAAGAGGGAAAAGTTGAGATCAATGAACTGCCCGTCGTGTCAAAGTTCAGCCACTTTCTTGAAAGTGATCCCATTTAAAGCGTTGTAAAACTTGATGAAACAGTACAATGTTTGCCCCTGATGGGATCACACCGATGTGTGAACTAACCGGCACGTTTGTTTTCCCTGAACATCGCACTCGCACATGAGCTCTCCACCTAAACTTACATCACTTTGCTCCAGACAAGATAACATCGTGCTGTGAACTCTTCCCTGACCATTGCAGCAGTTTTCCCTATTCCCGAGTCTGCGAGACAGACTGAATTTTAATTTATGAGGTCACAACGTAATGCTGAGTAGGCCTAATGACATAGGCGAGGGAACTTAGTCAGAGAAGGAAAGCTATAAATTTTCAACAGGTAAAGGAGAGGGACAACTGGGTAAGAGTAGATCTTGAGACTCACAATAGGATAAAAAGTGAAAATGGCACACCTCATGCAACTATGCATGTGATAGGTCATCAAGGTTAACTACTCTTTGCTCGTCATATGTCATAAACCCACCCAGGGGGCATGGCATGTCAGTCCATTTTAGAGTGGAGGGAGACCATTTTACAGATTATGAGCCTTAACATGTGTCACCGTAGATTCTTCCCTGGGTTTTTCGTCGGCTAAGATCCCTGTTCTCCTATGATCCCGCATTTTCCTTGCTCTTGAGCATCGGGATCTTAGGCAAAGACTACTGCATACAAAAAACCCCACCAAAATAACAACTCACATTACACCCTAATAAATCAGCCACGACACTACAGAGAGAAACTTACGACCAATTTAGTTCGTCGTGTACATTAGTGGGAGGGTTAACAAAATCAAATCGATCTCACCTTAGTAGGATTTAGATGACAAATATCAGCAAGCTTCTTCCATGGATCTTTCGGGAAGTGAATGGCACAAAACTCTAGCTCCTCGGAGGTAAATCCTCTCACCCAGGCAGCAACCTGCTTGCAGACAGAGCCACTTGCAGTGCCAATCTGGAAGAAAAAATACAATGTGAAAAGTAATAATTAATTAACATATAACTACTGTAGCATGCAGCACAATATGTGAAATAGGAAAACTCTCATGTACCAGGTGTCTAAAAAAAGAGGACCTATTCATTAAATTTAGGTTGAAATTCTTAAAACTTGATATTTCTCAAATACTCAGTTTGATTTTCTTATATTTACAAATTCAACATCCACCTGGATGAATTTTATTTGTTAGAAGTTTTCTTGAAATTGGTGCAAAGATGTGTAGGTATTTTAAATGAATCCTCTTTTTTTTCAGACATTTTGTATTTGGAACCTACGAAATAAAAAAATTGGTAGAGATCATACTACTATTCGCGGGTTGTGATTGTTGTGCTGAATATAATGATAAAAATGAAGACGATAATAACAATGATGATAAAAACATGAAATGTGACATTGATGGCAAAGATGAACGAGGCTAAAGTGAGGGAAGAAAAAGATACTTTATTCAAGGGATGATGGAAGAGATGGAGAAGAATTTTTTTTATAAATAACAATAAAATCAACATGAAAATATACATCTTTATTATTCACTATTCAAAAGATAAAAATCCATTATAATTTCTCTGAATTCATTTGTTTTAATCACCCAAGCATGTGTTTTACATCTTGGTTTCAGAAAATAACAGCGCATATATTAAATTAAAAAAAAAAAAAAATTTGCCAGTTCCATTATAAATTATAGTCTAGATTTAATAATTAAATTATTGTACTGCTCTGAAGTAAAAAGCTGTGAGCTAGAGACAGCAAAAACTTACCGGTGGTTTTATCCTTCTTAAATTGTCAATATCAGACTTCAGTTTCCCAATCTTTTGAGGACTGACTTTATTTCCAGACAACTGAAGACATTTCATTCGTTTTTCCAGCACCCTCATCTGTCTACCAGCATCAAGCATTGAGATAGCTCTGAGAACCTCAACAAGGCCAAACTGTGACCGCAGCTGTAGAAGTGTCTTGGCGAGTTCTGTGTCGCCCCTAGCCCATGCCATTGCCAGTGCTCGAATACGGGCATCTGTTTTAAGATTTAAAAAAGACAAGATGAACTTTTTGATCAACCAGGGAAATTTGCGGGGATATACCAGAACATTGAACATCAACATGCAAAGATTCAGTATCAACACAGAATTTCACTCATTACATTCATGTTCAAAGATGCACAAGCAACAATGTACAACTCAGTCACACAAGCATACCCAAAGAGTGTGTCCATGGAAAGAGATGATAAAATGGCAAAATGAAAACAAACTTAGATAATACAAAAAGACTGAAGGGAGAGTTCGAAAAGCTCATGATTAAAATTTGTTCTTGGCTGCATGCAGAGTATTAAGACCTTTTAAAAGATAAGATCTAGATATTATCTAGGAGGAAAATTTGCATTTGAAAAAGGATATTAGGTCTATATCCTAGTACAAAAGACAGAAAAAAAGTAATTGTTTTCTGACTCCAAAATAAGTACCTGTTAGAATACTATGGCATAAACAATGTATACTGGTATTGATCTGCTTTTAAAAAAACATATATACTGGCCAGCATGCTGGTTTTGCCATCACCTCTTTCATATGATGGAGGTTGGGGAGGCAAAATAATAAAGGAAAATATTAAGCTAAAGCAAAAATGAAGGAGGATGGGAAAGAAACAACTCGAATCGTCAGTCTATTTACAACATATCTCGCATTTACAAAACATCCACAATAAACATTGCTTGTCATTGAGGCATAGAGCTGAGTGGGGTATCGTCAAAAAGAAAAAAAGAGAACAAGGAAGGATAAAAAAGAAGAATTGACTGCAGAGCAATGGAATGGGAGAATGGAGTAGACAGGCAATAGTAAGGAATGTAGAGGGGAATGCAAATAATGAAATGCTGGTGGACATGGGACAGAACGATTTTAAAATATAAAACAATTGCAGAAATGGAATTTAAAAAGTAGACAAAGAATTAAACACAAGACAAGGAGGTCAAATAAAAGGACTAAACTCTCTCTCTCTCTCTCTCTCTCTCTCT